CCGTCCGAGATCAGTAAAAGGTCTGTAAAATAACGCAATATTTATTTCAAAATTCTGTAAATAGGAATTCTAGACTTTATCTCTCCTGTTTAAAATATGAATGGATTTTAACGCCACCATTAACGAGTCCTCACAAAATGACGTGCTCAATGAGATGAATTTTTACTTTTTCAAACGGAGAGTGAATGAAAATTGAAATCAAACAATCACTCAATGTTGAATCGCGTTGTTACGTAGTAGTAAAGTAGTTACGGCATGTGCTTACATTATCTAAGAATAGTCAACGCAGGTTAAATTTGTTTTTTAGTTGTTCATGCAGCTATTGTACTCGGCGAGCCCTATAGCCTACGGCTAACAATAATTCTGCATTCGTCGTGGCATTCACAAGCAGACATAACTGTTCACGTGCAAACAGGATAAAACGATGGGTTATTATTAATAGAATTATTGTGCGCCGAGGTGTTTTTCGCTCTCTGAGGATTCAATCGCAGAATCTTGAGGGTATTAAGTAGATGGATTCCCCATTCATTCATTCCGGCATGTTCTATTGTAACCAGTGGCGTGGCGTGCTTTGCGATATATCGATTGATCTGTTATTTAAACCTATGGAAAAGGATCGGTTAACAAGGTGTTCGCAGCGAACACCTTAATAATCGATTCTTTAGCACGGATTCAAATGGGAAAATATGGATAATCGATCATTCACGCCACGCCACTGGTTGTAACGTAATCAAATGACCAAATCTGCCGCGCTAAGGAAGAACGCCGTATGAGCCTTCAAGCGTTGCCAAATTTCCTGTGAAAATACGCGAATATCCCATTAAATTTATGAATATTTTCCTCCCAATTTTTCAGATAATTTAGTTCACAATTTTACCTGAGGATTCTAAAAATTTAAATGAAAAATATTCATAACTTTCCTCAAAGATGAACATTTTCTTGAAGGAAATTTGGCAACTTTCGAATGTTCATAAGGCGTTCTTCTTTAGCACGGCAGAAATTGAGCGCTATACGTACGACTCATATGTTGACGATGAAACTTCCAAACCACATATCTCGGTTTACAACATTGCAAACTTTTTGACATTTATTTTTTAAATGAAAAACGACTCCACGACAATTCCTAAAAAATTCCGGGATTTTCTTCGCTATGCGAGAATATACTGAAAAAACTTAAAGGAATAATTTTGACTGGTTCTCCTAAAAATAGAATAAATGAGAGATACGCAGTGGCGTGGCGTGCTTCGATAAATATCGATATTTCCCCATTTGAAGCTATGGTACAGAATCGATTATTAAGGTGTTCGTTGCGAACACCCTGATAATCGATCCTTTTCCACAGGTCTAAATGGCAGATCAATCGATATACCGCAAATCACGCCGCGCCACAAAGGATACGATAGAGATATATACGCTTATGGAAGTCTCGCCGTCGCACAATGGAATCAGTCAATGGGAGAGGTTGGACAAAATTTGGGAAATTTACGGGCTCATAACTCCGTTTACACAAAACATTGAGGTTTAGAAAACGAGTAAACTGGAATCCTCGTAGAATTTTCTTTTCAAAGCACCCGTTAAAATTTGAAATGTGACGAATTAAGCATCAAAATTTGCAGTTTTAGTCAAAAATGTCATGTCCGACCCGTCTGATCGAATCGATCCACCGGCGTCGATATGCAATAATGCAATTGAGGCCAGTGACTTTATCTACCTGCCGATAACCAAAAATCATGGAAATCGACCTGGCAGATCACAGAATGCACGTATGTCAAAGAATAATAACTGCATGAATCGGGGCGCTGAAAGTAATAATGCGTGCAATTTCACGGCTAGAAGCAATCAAATCATCGATTAGAACTAAACTCTGTCATAAAATTGCAAACCGACCTCCAAAGTTTGTTGGTTTTAGGTTCATGAGCGCTATTCTGCCTGGTTAAGGATGAACGCCGTATGAGCCTTCAGACGTTGCCAAATTTCCATCGAAGGAAAAACAGAATTAACTGAGCAAATTGTAAATATTTCCCCCCAAAATTTTGAGACAATTTTGTACGCAATTTGATCTAAATATCTGCAAATTTCGAGGATACTTATGCTTGAATGTTGTCGAAAACACATGGTTAATCAAGGGAAATTTGGCAACTCTCGAATGTTCATACGGCGTTCTTCCTAAGCACAGCAGTATTCCTCAGCAATGAAGGATTTCATAATTCAACGAATGGCACTTGATTATTGCTGCACTTAGTACATCTTTAAGGAGTTAAGTGCGGTCAGGACCATGCCATCACCACTCAATTAAGGCTCGCAAGTGTTTCTCTTCATTGCGCCTAACATCGCGGCGTTGCAACATTTTTGCAAATCGCGATTTAATGTGAGGCTTCCGAAACTGCCAGCGGTGAAGCCTTTATTATCCGAACGGTCTATCAAGTTTATTGGATTATATTTTATTGGATCAGAATTCGTGGGATTGGATTAGATCGGAAATAGCCATGATTCTTTCAAGGGGCTGCGGTTTAGTGATGGGATTATTTTAATTGCCGTTGTAAGTCTATAAAGAGGCGATGTGTCGCGAAAGGAAACCGTCTCTCTTGAAGGAAAAGAAGTGGAGCGTGTTAAGCAGAAAGGAACCAAGTCACATCCGCTATTGCCATATTCAATTGGACACTTAAATTTTTTACATGAAAATGGTTGTGCACACGGGGAAAAAGTGTCAGGGTTTTCCCCTAAAATTATGGTACTAAAAATGCAGTCCATTTGACTTATTTGCTATTCTCGGTAATCAACTCATTAACGAACCTATTAATAAATATCTAATGAAAATAATGACAGCTTAATCCTCGCTGTGTTTTGCCACTGATTTCGGATTAAAAGGGTAAAAGCTCATATATTTTTATGGAAGGGGCAAATCCTACTTTAAGTAGATTATTCAAAAATAAGGCGTATTAAAAATGGTCATTAGGTGTTTTTTTTTTTTTTTTTTTTTTTTTTTTTTTTTTTTTTTTTTTAACACATCAATGACGATAATACCTAACATTAAACTACTCGCCCACAGGGCCGACTACGTTCCCTGTCGCACTCATTCGTGACAGTAATCAAGACAAAGATCGCAAAGTGGTCGCCGAAGTATTTACGGATATTTATTTCGCTCAGTTTCGAGATATTCTGTGAGCCAGGCGAAATAAAATACTTGACTGGCTTTAATGTTGAAGGTCTCACGGCTAACTGCCGGCCGGCATGCACTGCTTAAATGAGGTGAGGATACACGCCCATGTGTATAAGACGGGAATCTTATAGGTTAGTAAAAAAAAACCACTAACTTTTTAAAAACCAAGTTTTCAAGTTCAATATTCATAAAATATCGCCCTCTGGAAAACTCGATGGGTGGTGTGAAATGACGCGCGCTTGCGCAAACCACCGTTTTTTCCACATTAATCTCGAGATATGAATCGGTTATAAATAATGTGCAAATTGCAGTGGTTGCTCTGCGAGGTTAACAATTACGCGAAGATGGAAGAAACCATAGCATGCACTAACGCGAGTATGTATAGACGTCATCCTCTCAGCCTTAAAAAAGGTGATATCGATATTTTCATCGTCAGAAAAAAACGCGGCACTTTATATTTTGACACTGTTCAGTGGTTTTTATGGTTCTTTAAAGTCGACCGTCGAAACACGATTCAGAGACACGCGTAGCTATAATGATCTGAAATTTAGTTTCACGCTGAAAAAAAAATGCTTGAGATATTATTTTAAATTAAATCGTCGTTTCTTGTCGGCAGGTTTTCCTTTTACTTAAGGAAACGTTATTTTTCTATCGTGTTGTAAACTTAAACTTAACGATGCAGCAAAACGACGTTTTTTTAACTAAAAAAACTGATGGTAAATTTAAACCGCATGGATGTAACTTTTTTTTTAAAAAAAAAAAAAAAAAAAAAAAAAAAAAAAAAACAGAACTTTATTGACAAGAAACGACTCTTTAAGTCAATATAATATCTGAAGAAAATTTTATTTCAGTGTAAGACTTATTTCTCAGCAAGAGCGTCGCTATTTTGACGTAAGGCGTACCTCGATTTCCATGTGAGCCCTATTTTACCTATAAACCCATGCTTACTGTAAATGATCATCAGACTCTGAAGCGCTGGGTGCAAAAAGGGCATTTCTTACTTGTAGTGTCTCAAAATCTCCGCTGACGTTTCATCCATTATAAGTGAAGCAAATTGTATATGTAATTTTTTTTTAACTTTTCCTGAATATTCCTTATGATTTTACAGTGCTGAAAACGTAAAATCTTAGAGAATTCACCCAAATAGTTTCCTCTCTGGAATAAAAATTGGACGGAGTTAAACAGAAAGGAACCAAGCCACATTTGGATCGAACCGAGAAAAAAAGGTTTAAAGTTTGGCTCCTGCATAAGACTCAATGTAAAAGATAAAATTCAAGTTCAATTTCTGCAAAATTTGCTCCAACAAAAACTTTGAATTTTTGGCGATAGATAGTAGAGCAGTGGTTGAGTTCAAAACCATTCATAACTCAATTTTTCCCAAAATGTGGGTTGGTTCCTTTCTGCTTAACTCAGTCCAATTAGCACTGAAGATTCTGAAACACCGCGACCAAGAAATGCCCTCTCTGCACCCAACGCCTCATTTTTAACATCCTAGACGCAAAACTGCAGCATTTTATTTTTTTCGACGAGTCGATCGACCAACTTTTTTTTCCTTTCTTTCTTTCTTTCACTGGAAAAAAAAAACACATTCGATCTAGAGTCTAGACTCTTGAAAACATTGACAAAAAAAAAGGAATCTTGATTCAATCAGATTTACGCTTAAATCAAAAGGAAATCTACTCAAATTAAGAGGTTTGGTTCTTAATTTAAGCTTAAATCTGATTGAATCAAGAGTATTTTTTCTTGTCAATGTTTTCAAGAGTCTGGACTCTAGATCCAATGTATTTTTTTCTAGTGTTCTTATTTTTAGGTCCAACCAATAAGAAATCAAACCACTTACTATGCCTGGTAGAAAGCTTCATCTTATCCAAACTGGTGGTCTCCCGGTCGTTATAGATGATAATGGCCGACGCATTGTAGTGATAAGCGTTATCCAGCTTGACTTGGAAGTTACAAGCACCCCGCTTGACGAGCGCGATCCACTTGGTGCCCTTCGGGGGGAACTCCCCCCCATCGGAGGGCCGGAGGGGAAGCGAACACCCGGTGGTATCCCAGTCCTCCGAATCGGAGACGAGATGAACCAGAAGCCCAGAGGCGAAACCCACGTGGTACTCTCCGTACTTCCCCATCTCAGTTTTCTCCGTATGTAGGAGACCTGTCTCCGGGTCCCTGTATGTAAGGTTGATGAACGCCGTTGTGTAGGAATCGGCCGTCTCCTCGAAGACGGGGTTGTATGTGTTGGAGATCATGTGGTTTGTGTGGGACCATGATGCCGAGGCGCATGTCATCAGGGGGAGGAAGAGTACGGAGGCTATGTACGTCCACATTTTGAGGTTAGGAACACGCGCACCGTTGTATAATCCAGCAACTTGCAAATGAATTGCAGAGTTGGTTTTTACTAATTTTGAGGTTAGGAATTTGCACAAACTGAAGTTGGAACTGGTGGCCGGGGTCGTTTCAAATCCACTTTTCGATAGTGGAAAATTGTTAGGGTTTAAGTACGATTGATCACATTAAAGCGAGTCTAAAACTAAGGACGCGGATTTAACTCAAAAACACGCGAATAAAAAAATGCACTTACACACTTAAACACTTGATAGTTTTAACACGCGGCAACTTCGGTTAAATTTGCCGTTTGGGTGATTGGAACCGGTTTAGAACGAAGATCGCTATTCTAAAATTACGTTCGACGGACAGGATTTCCAAAATCCAAGCTTTAGTCGAACCGAAAAGTAGAAAACTCCAGTAATTCGTAGATTTTCCGGCTGGGATTTTTCAAAATTGTCAAAATTATCAGGACCCTAGTGCAGGTAATCCGGAATTCAGTTGATTCGCGCACACCGCGAGGTAAAGATGCGCACAAAATCACTAAAATTCACGAAACAGATTTCTAAAATACACGCTATTACGTCAGACGATAAAAACACGCGTTTAAAAAAACTCAATTCTCCCGAACAGTCCGTTTTAAAATTGAAAAAGCTCGCTAGGTCGGAAACGGCTCAGTCCTTCCGGTCATCGGACCTTTTGGCGGGAAAGGCGCGGGCCCGGAAGTGAGGGCACCGGAAACGAGGGATGGTACCGGAAACGGGGGTGCCTACCGGAAACGAGGAATGGCACCGGAAACGGGGGTGCCTACCGGAAACGAGGAATGGCACCGGAAACGAGGGTACCGGAGCCGTCGAACGGCCGGGAACACGTGTTGAGCCGGGTGCGGGTCGGGAAAACTCCACGTCCACGTGACACTTCGGGAAACTCTGCTCTCGAACTTGTCTCGGGGGTTCGCGGTGACGCTTTTCGGATGCGATGCTGCGCGGGAGATCGCGACTCTCTCGCTCACGGCCGACTTGCGCGGAGGCCAGAATCGGACTTGGCGCCGAGCAGCGGGTCCGCTGCTCGCGCGCGCCGCCGTGGGAGATGCGCGCCCCCCTCCTGCGAGCGCGCCGAGCCGCGCGGGGGGTTCTCCCTCCCCCCCCCGCCCCCCGGGACTTGTTTCGTCGCCCGGACTGGAGGAGTCGCGGCACGCGAAGACAAGACGGAGTCCTTCCGCTGTTTTGACCCTTTTCTGGTCTAGCATGGCGTGCGGCGGTGATAAGGAGCCGGTGTGGTAGCGTTCCTGCAAGATCGCGTGGTTAAAAAGTAAAAAAATATAAATTTATTTAAGTACAAATAAAGAGGAGATTTAATTATAATATGCACTGAAAAAAAAAATTGCTATAATACGGTGACAAATCACCAAATTAGTAAAATCAACCCGGTGTTCTTAATCTATTTTGATGAGTTGTCACATTTTTTCACTATTTCATGTGTTGATTTTAGCAGTTTTTTTTCAGTGTGAGTAAACAAGGCTAAAAAATGATTAAAACGCTATAAGGCAGGACGTTTCGAGCTGTTACCAGCTCATTTTCAGCTGTAAAAACACATAAAAACAAGAAAAAAATTGAATGGTGACCTGATCCCAGCCGTTATCACGTAACCGCTACGAAAGTACAAACATAGTAGTGCAAACACAAACGAAGGGTCAGATTCCCGAAATGTTCACTTATTTCCTTTTTCAAAGAACATAACATATCGATGATGTAATGCACTGGAAAAAAAACACATTGGATCTAGAGTCCAGGCTCTTGTAAACATTGACAAGAAAAAGGACTCTTGATTCAATCAGATTTAAGCTTAAATCAAAAGGAAATCCGCTCAAATTAAGAGGCTTGGTTCTTGATTTAAGCTTAAATCTGATTGAATCAAGATTATTTTTTCTTGGCGATGTTTTTAAGAGTCTGGACTCTAGATCCAATGCTATTATCGAACAATACACTTTACTATTAATCATGAAAGTAAACGATGGAAATTCCCTTGATATTCTGGCATCCTACACATCTTTGCCGAACCATAATACCATGTTAGCAAACACTCAAAAATAAAAAGCTCCGGTTCTGATCGCCGTAATGCGGACTTTTTTAATTTACTATTTACTCTGGGTTCAGAGGCCGAAATTTTTGACTCTGGAAGTTGTTGCTTCGACCACTAAACCCGGAGTCAACGGCCTCTGAATCTGTAATGGATGATAAGATCGGCTTGGAGGACAAGGCGCATAAGTACATTTATTGCTATTTCGAAAAATACATGTCTAAAGATTCGAAATTACATGTATCACTATTGCGGAAAGAAAGTTCAAACGACTTTCTGAAGCTTAAAAATTGGAATTTGGGAGCGAATTTTTCGCAGAATATGCATTAAAATTAATTTTACCCGACATCGTTAATATTAAAATTTTTTTCAAAAACTGCACTTGTTCGCTTTGTCCTCCAAGCCCCTCATATGTGACAGCTCGTAGTTACATATTTCACAGCCGGATCTCCTTTAAGTGTTTAAATGTTTAAAACTGCAATTTAAATTTCAAATACGATTATGCCGAAAATCCATCCTGATAATGGTGGAACAATTGTGCTTCCTAGAATCCTAGAAATGTCAAAACCTTTACCTCGCCACAGCATTGAGAGGGAGTGTCAATGAAGGTTCAATGCAAAAAATAATCAAACATTTAAATACAAAGCCGATCGAGTTCAAAGTTGTATTGCGAAAGTCAGAATAAAGAGAAGTCATTTAGCAGGTATGTAGATTTATTCCAAAGAACAGTGAAAAAGAGGTTAAGAATGTGTGGAGAAAATGCATGTTTCAGGATTCAAATACACGCATCAGTCTCTTTGCAAAAAATGCTCTTTGAGAGTTCCATACCAGATTTTCTGTCGGAATTTATCGATCGTGCTTAATTGTGATAGCCCAAATTAGTGCGATTCAAACGTTCAGAAGTCGCCTTCAAATAGTTATGATGCAACATAACGTACTTTTATGAAAGTTGTGTATACTGAGCAGGAGAGCCAGCTCGTCAATGATTCGAGACGCTGCACAGTGGATCGAGTCAAGAGGAGAGGTCGGACAACATTTGGAAACTTTAAACGCTTATAACTCCGTTTATACAAAACTTTGAGGTGCTGAAAGTGGCTCGATTAGTTTCCTCGTAAAATTGTCTTCTCGAAGCACCCCTTAAAATTTAAAATGTGACAAAATAAACATTATTCACGGAAAAAAAAAATTAGGTAGCATTTACCATATTCTGGTTCATAGACGGAACAACCAGAGAGTATGGTAACTTTCATCAAGATTATCGTGAAAGTTACAATATTTTTCCTTGTTAAGACAAAAATTTTGGTGGAAGTTACCATACTCTCTGGTTGTGCCGTTTTTGGACCAGAGTGTGGTAAATGCTACCCAACTTTTTTTTCCGTGTTTGCAGTTTTAGTAAAAAATTTCATGTCCGACCTGTCACATTGACTCGAACCACTGTGCGCTGCTGGCCGGACCGGGCATTTTTATCTTTTCTGCTGGCAAATTATTGCCCAAAACATTTCGAATAGAAATGTAAGGATAAAATTCCAAAAGCGCAAAGTCCCTAGGCGTAAACCTCAAAAACACGAACGCATATTGGCGATTTGAGGTGGTGAAAGTAATAAGTCATGTGTGCAAAGTATTGCCTTCATAACTTAAGAAAAGGTGACAAGGAAAACTTCATATACATACATGTGTTAGAGATCTGATTGAAATATAATTAATACATGTTTCATTACATCACGTCATGAGGCCTCTGTCCAAAAAGACAAACGAGCGCAACAATTTAGCCAAAACGTTTGAGATAGTTACCACGAAAACGGTTGTGCAGGTTTGTGTGCTTTCAGTGAATTTTCTGCTTAGTACGAGGTAAATTAAAATCTTCAAAATAATCCGCACAAACATTCTCCTGTAAAAAGTAAAATTGTCCAGTTAATTTGGCAACAGCTGATGTGGCTTGGTCCCTTTCTGTTTAACGCGGTCCATTTGATGTTTATTCCTAACTGCACTTCTCTTTCACTCCTCCGAAAAAGCAAATACGTTGGGATACGCGCTCGAAAATACTTTTTTGAAGTGTCTATGAAACTACTCTGCTACATTCGTCGTTCTCAGATCTGGAAGAGTAGGGCCGCAGCGAAAATTTTAGAAGGACAACGTTGTACGTAAACGTTGTTAAATAAATTTAATATGCATTAGTAAGGAGAGGGATAGGAAAAATATATTCAATAATATTTAAAAGCTGCACTAATACGTTTAAACAATGAAAGCGTTTATCGAAAAATTGACGATGTTTTCATGAAAATCGGTAATAGTTTATTTTATAGGCGGAATGGGTGGCTCGAAATAAAGGTGAGGTAAAATAGAAACAAATACAGTACCCTCAGTTAGTATCGCATGCAACAATCGCAACAAACACTCAGCGAACTTCATCATAACGCCTGGATGCAACTATTCGAGCTTCGCGGATGTCCGTGTTGCATACGCACTGAATTGAAGGAGTTTTGACTTTCCAGGCACTGGCATTTACCACGCACCGCATTACCTCCTGCACAGCATGAGAGCGAGTTCTGCGCGTTCGTGCTAAAGAAGAAACATGAACATTTGAGAGTTGCCAAGTTTCATTCGATAAAATGTTCATTTTCGATAAAAATTATGAATATTTTCCCTTGAAATTTTCAGACGTTATAGATCAAAATACAAACAAAATTTTCCGAGAAATTGGTACGGCTGTGAGGCATATTGAGTGATCTTCCAAATGCATAGGTTGGCAGCGGCACTTTTCTAGTGATTTTCGTTTTCACGTTGTCGCCCTTTTGAGCCCTAAGAGCTACATAAATCGAGTTGTCCATACTATCCTTGTCATGCTCATTGCATCAAGTTTTGGAACACGCTGTACACAATTGCCAGGTCAAGGTGTGCGTAAGAAATCGACGAAAGTTCGCTGTCATTTGAATTCCGTCGGTAAGCTTCGCATATGACAAAATGCCTGATTAGCTTTGCGAAATTTCCACTTCCGAGCTCAATGGAAGCATTGCATGCTCACAGCGTTACGACTAACTTATGAATGCAAACTGAGTCACTGTCCGTTTCATTCATAAATAATGTCATATAGTACGAGTAAAAACGCCGCATGAATGAACAGTGACGATTCTGCGCTATACTGAATCACGTCAAATGGATTTCGAGAGATATATGCACGAAGAAAGCGTCAATTTAATTATAAGATTACAATGGCTCGTCTGATAGGTCTGACACTCGTGTTCTGCACAAACGAAAATCCGGATAAAACGTGCAGTGCTCTGCGCCACATCATTAAAACTGAGCCTCAGCCTTTTTGCTATCAATCAAGGACGCACACTGGGTCGTGAAAGGAAAATTTGGGGACAAATATTTCTAGTTTCGACTGGTGCTGCAAGGAGAAGACTTACCTTTTGTTGTAGTTTTCCTTTTCTCAAATTATCGAATTAAAAAAAAAAAGTCTCTGACCAATTACAGTTTTTTTTTTTTTTTTAAATTTAATTTTTAAAAAAGTTGTACTTTCTGGAAAAATCCAAAGGCACTTCCGAGTTTACCAGCATATAATAGGTAAGAGTAGCCCTACGAGTTATATAATAAAAATAAGAGTTTTGGCTGATTAAGTTGTTTTTCATCCTACGAGTTACACAGGGAGAACATTTTCCCAATTTCCAGACTTATAGAAATCGGATTGCAGTTTTTCATGTGGTGATCTGATAGGATTAAGCATTGTAATCCAAAAAATCTCACTATCTAAAACAGCAGGCGAATTCTCGGATTTGATCAGATGAATCTGTTGGATATATTCCGTATATTAAGTACCTACGAAAAAGACCCTGTTGCTTTAAAATAACTGAATTTTCCCCGGAGAAAGTGGATTTTTGAGAAATTTCAGTTTTTCGGAACAAAAAGACGTCAAAAAGTCAATTTGAACTTTATTCCGCCACAAGGATCCATATAATTCTATGTAGTTTCAACACTTCAAACACTTCAAACACGTATTCTGCTGAGCCAAGGGAAAACGCCGTATGAGCCATCAGGCGTTGCCAAATTTCCCTCGGCAAATCACTCATTTCCAGGAAAATTTTTGAATGTATGTCTACCACTTTCTATGATCATTTTGTTCGTAATTTGATCTGAAGCGTTTGAAAATTTCAAGGGAAAATATTCATAATTTTCCTCAAAAATAAACATTTTATCGAATGAAATTTGGCAACTCTTGAATGTTCATACGGTTCTTCCTTAGGACGGCAGTATTTCTCGAAATAGCAAAAAGTGCACTTATGCGCCTTGTATGCGCCTCAAAGCCGTAATTTAATGTTCCTAATTCGTGCCTTCACCCTTCGAGGAGATTTCAACGTTTTCAAAGAACGTGCAGAGTGACGAACAGCCCCTGTTCCTTCCTGCACACTCTCGCAACTCTCGTGAAGCGAGCCCACCGCGCGGCGAGAGGATCGATAAGTACAGCAATGCGCCTTCCGAATCAAAGTAGAGGCAATTGGCACGGCATCGGAGTCAGACACGTGGCGTGCCTCGATGGTCGATGCCGCACCAAGCTCTGAATTGAGGGTCAGGGTCGCCGCCTCGTTCATGCACCAAGTTTAAAACGAATGACCGCGCTTTTGCCGGCGCCGCTGCCAAAATGGTGCTTTTGATTCTGCCCCCCCCCCCCCCCCAAAAAAAGCTCTCAAGTTGAGGCCAAAATGGAGGGAATATCCCACGCTATCAATAATGGAGATGTTGCATGTGTGAGGAATTTGCGATTTGACTGATGATTCTTATGTAAAAGTTCGCGAGAAACACGATGTTGCCACTGGTTTTCTCTGCAAAATCAACTCCCAAGCTCAAAAAAAGCTCTCAAGTTGAGGCCAAAACGGAGGGAATATCCCACGCTATCCCGAGAGTCCACCTCTACATCAAGACAAACTCTCCTTGCAAAGATAGGGAGCAAATACATTGACAGGGCTGCCACTGTATTTGGGGACTCCAAAACTGGCAAAACGGCAACCCTGCTAATGTATTTGTTCCTATCTTTGCATAGAGAGTTTGTGTTGATGTAGAGGTGGAGTCTCAGGATAGCGTGGGATATCCCCTCCATTTTGGCTTAAACTTGAGAGCTTTTTTTGAGCTTGGGAGTTGATTTCAGAGAAAACCAGTGGCACCATAGTGTTTCTCGCAAACTTTTACATAAGAATCAACAGTCAAATAGCAAATTTCCCACACATGCAACATCTTCATTCGTCGTTTTCTAGACAGAAGAACGTAATTTTATTCCTAGGTTGCTGCAAAATCGGCTCGTAACTCTCTCATCTTTTACAATACAGGGAACTCATTATTGATATTGTTAGGTGAAAGGCTGCAAACTGCAACATTCCGTGTCTACCGATAAGATCTCGCAATTTTAAGCATTGAAATGTTCTCTACGTGAATTATTCAGTTGCTTTCAGTTCGCCGTCAATTACGTCTGCAGCAATTGTTGTTACGAATTTGTTGTGCGTGCTCATTTCAGCCCATTACATACTTGACGCTCTGAAGGCGTTGTGTGCATGTAGCGCACTCTATTGGAGAACAAACGAAGTAAATACAAAACGCCTTCAAAGCGTCAAGTATGTAATGTGCTGAAATGAGCACGCACAACATATTTGAAACAACAATTGCCGCAGACGCAACTGAAGGCGAAATACTTGCGCACATAAAACGCCTCCAGAGAGTCAAGTATGTAATGGTCTGAAATCAGCACGCACAACATATTCGTAACAACAATTGCCGCAGACGCAGCTGGAGGGGAATTGCTTGAGCACATAAAACGCCTTCAGAGAGGCAAGTAAAAAGTATGTAAAAATTCGCGAGAAACACGATGTTGCCACTGGTTTTCTCTGCATAATCAACTCTCAAGCTCAAAAAAAGCTCTCAAGTTGAGGCCAAAATGGAGGGAATATCCCACGCTATCCTAAGAGTACCTCTACATCAGAACAAACTCTCCTTGCAAAGATAGGGAGCAAATACATTGACAGGGCTGCCACTGTATTTGGGGACTCCAAAACTAAAAACACGGCAACTCTGCTATAATGTATTTGCTCCCTATCTTTGCATGGAGAGTTTGTCTTGATAAAGAGGTGGAATCTTAGGATAGCGAGGGATATCTCCTCCATTTCAGCCTCAATTTGAGAGCTTTTTTTGAGCTTGGGAGTTGATTTCAGAGAGAACCAGGGGCACCATCATGTTTCTCGCGAACTTTTACATAAGAATCAGTAGTCAAATCGCAAATCCCTCACACATGCAACATCTCCATTAAATTCTTTATTATATAGATAGTATTTGATAGTCGTTCGATGTATTTGGTTCAAAACAATAGATTGACCTCAATCAACAATTTTAGGATTCAAGCTGTAAAAGCCGGAAATGAGAAAATTCCTAGCAAGAAGCGAATTTCCGCGATCGAATAGCATTCACCGTTGAATGATATTCGACGATTGTGCATTTTTTTTTTAAATGATATTCGACTCCCTCGTTGGTCTCGCCGGAGACCGTTGAAATCCATTAATTTGAAATTTAAAATTCACTTCGGGACTTGAATTCGATTTTTGAATTGATGCGATGGACGCCGGAAACTTCATCCTTCAACAGCATTTTTGTTTCGTCATTTCTTCCTGTTTTTGTGTCCTGTCAATTCAAGTCTGGTTCCTTTTCCAATTTGCTGTGTTTTAGTGTTCGTGTTTTCTTATTTTCTTCTTAATTTCATTCAAAAAAAAATTGGAACACTGATTGGCTCCTGCTATCACCGATCACCGGCATCACTCAGCACCGATCAATTCGTTTGATGAATGATATTCGATAGCGAAAATTCGCTTAGTTTCACTCTTCGTTGCCATTTTGTACTCTTAAGTATAAAAAATCTAGCCCAAAAAAAACCGCTCCCTCAGATTACTCAATTGAATTTTGAGGCTAGGTTTACATGTTGAACCAGTCAATATCGATACAAATACATATTTGACAATATCAAGTGTGGGATGGGGCGTGGCACGCATTGATGATGCGCTAGTGATGCGAGCGCCTGGGATCCTGTATGCAACTATTTCTGTTTCCGGAATGTTTATCTTGCATATACGAAAGATTGAAGGCGTTTTCGCTTGTCCCAAGGGAGAAAGGTAACAGACGAGGCTGTATTAGTTTCAACTAAAAGTAAACGTTACCGCGGCCGTTCCCGTATGATGACACAGGATGAAAAATAAAACTAAGACCAATGAATCAAACATCATAAACAAGATTAAAAAGGTTAACTTTAGCTAACTTTTTTTTCTTCACTTCTCTGGGGCACAATCTGTCGTGATAGAGAAGAGAGCAATAAGTTTCAAATTTTTGAAATCGAATTTCCTTCAAAATTCGTCCACTCTCTTTCAGAAATCACTGAAATAGCTAAAATAGCAAAGTTCACTCTATGTGACCGTCGACTGGGGAAGAAACCCATACCAAAGAGATAAATCAAAATTGAACTGTTCAGCATAGTGCACAGGAAACTTCGATCTACAAAAATTCCGGCGCAAAATGAAGAAAGTAAAAAAAAATCAGAAACAACCTAAATTATGTTGGTTCGAAAGAACCTGCGTCGAAAAAACGCCCCTGTTTTCGAAACGTATTGATTTTCTTCAAATCTGTATCCAAGCGAAACGTTATGATGAGACAATCCTCCTATAGTTTTAGCTTGAGTTCAAAGCTCGTTTTGGCAATACAACGCTGCAAAGTTTGCATCTCTTACTAAAAAATGTGTCATTCCTTTGGAGTTGTTCAATTGAAAAAACAACGTTAGCTAACATTTTTTTTTTCTTCACTTCTCTGGGGCACAATCTGTCGTGATAGCAAAGAGAGCAATAAGTTTAAAATGCTTGAAATCGAATTTCCTTCAAAATTCGTCTACTCTCTTTCAGATGAAATCACTGAGATAGCTGAAACAGCAATGTTCACCAGACCACCCGAGCAAGGATTTTTTTTCTCGTTTTTTTTTTTTTTTTTTTTTTTTTTTTTTTTTTTTTTTTTTTTTTTTTAGTCGGGTGATGTTTGGGACGTGAGAGTTGAATGAGGAATGGGCCCCAGGAATAGGAATTTCATGGTTCCGAAGGTCATTTCCCCCTCTTTCCCTTGCGAAACATTCCCTATTTAACCCCACAGTTCCAAACGTCAACAGATTTAAAATAGCCTAGAAAAATTATAGAACATACTTAACAATAATTGATGAAAATTACCGGGGTAAACTGTCTAAGGTCAACGGCAATGCGCAATCGCCCATGAGAATATTGCACACGGAAAAAAATTAAATGTTGATTTAGCATTTATGCCGTTAAAAAAATGTCCGAGAAGTTTCAAATGCTGATTTTCCATTTTAACAAATGCTAACGTAACTACGCCCACTACAAAACGAACAAATTTAAATGTTATGCTAGCATTTTTGTAATGTACAATCAGCATTTGAAACTTGTCGGACATCTTTTTAACAGTATAAATTCTAAATCAACATTTAATTTTTTCCGTGCAGCATATTTCCGTGCTTTTGGATACGAGTTGTGTGATTTCTACCTGAAGGAATTACTCATAGTTTCCATAATTGCAGCTTCGTGCTGTGAATCTCTTACAATTCATCAAGCATCTTATGAAATTTAAATTTTTCCCGCTTGTTGGTCAAAGAGAGGTTCTCCAATCACGTACTTTCCCGCTTTTTTGGTCAAAAAGAGGTTATCCAATCACGTACTTTCCCGCGCTCAACACTGATTGGCTGTTGCACTTTTACCAAGCGGCCGTGGCGGGAAATCTGCGTAGGCCACAAAATTTCAAATCTCCCGCTAGGAGTGAGAGCAACGAACTGCATCAACGATCGGTCACCGGTTACCGTGTGACGTCATGTGCCGAACGCCAGTTTTTCGCCAGATTTTTCTAATCAGTCGCTGTCGCGTTGAAATCTTTTGATAGAAAGTCTAATCATTTTCACGCTCTATTTAATATTTTCGACATCTATTGAAAGGATTTAAAATGTGAATCATTGCGTGTCGCGTGAAGAGACTGCAAGTTTTAAATGCCTCGTAATCGTAGTTGATTCTTCGTCGCAGGTAAGAGGGCCGATTTTCGCCTTTTCTGCCAACATATCTCTTACATCTGCAGATATTTCTGTGTATCAAAGTGTACGGCCTCAGTTTCCTTTTCCCGGACGTATGTATTTGCTCACCAGATTTGTTTTTGGGTTTCCAGTGTTGAACTAATTAGCAGATATGGCTGATCGAAAAGCGGAACTTGAGGCGAAGAAGGCCAAACTACAGGCCATCCGGGAGGAGAAGGAGCGAAGACGCAAAGAGAAAGCTCTCAAAGATGTGAGTACTTCTTTATTCTAAACTATGGATGAGTGAACAGAGTCTATTTTATTTGCTTCACTTAGATAACATGAATCTCCGTCAGTTCAGGTGTTGGCAGTTATGTCCATGCGAGTGTAGGTATTGAGTGATAACAGCCGTAAGTCAACTGTAAGTAAACATTGTCTTTCGATCAGGGACATCCTATTAACTTTTCACAACAATAGAGTCCAGTAACTGTGGCTCTAGCATAACCTCATCTTCTACTTGATCTAGTATTTAGCCTGTCTCATGCGTATGGAAGGTTCTCACCAAAAATTGCTGTTCGAATAGACAGGAGGTTTTCTTATCTGGTTACGTTTATCTATATTACTTTCGAAACAGATCATTCCTCTTTTTAAAGCTGCATCAATGTATTCTTGGGCATTGCAAGGGACTTAATTCTATTCTTCACTGAATAATTGCTAGTCGAATATTTAATTTTGAGGTTAGGCCCAACCCTCGCAGTGCATGCGTCAATGCACTGGACTCTCAAATCAAGAGTTGACATGAATCGTGATTTTGATAATTATTTTTGTTCTTCCGAATAACGTAATGCAATAAGGATGTAAAAGCTTGAATCAAATTTTTATTTTAATATGCATGCTTTAGGAAAGATTAACTTGAAAGAATTACTTATTTGTGCGCCAACAAAATTGCTCAAAACCAGACCGAACATTCATACAGCACCCAGGATAGGTACCTATTTGGCAATGTTTTTCGGCATTCTCAGTTTCGATTAGCAGTTACTACGTCCTATTTCTAAAAGTTCATTAGAGATTGGATGTAATATTACTGCTTAATTTCTTCTCATATCCTATTTTTGTCAGCCACTCCCAGTATTTTCACAGGTATGTCAGATGATCCGACAGTCTTGACCGTTAACTGTCAGATTTTCCCTAGAACGAAGACGAGTGTCCCTATGTCAGAGTGGTTTGTTGCTTACGTCCCCTTCATCACTTAATTTTATTCTGCTTTGTCGGTAGAAAGTAGTTCAGGCTGAAGCCCATGATATAGGTTTTGGTATAGCTTTAACTTTTACTCTCTCTGTTATGGAACTCTTCTTTATTCTATTGACAAAACAGTGATGAAGTATTGAAGTATCCAGCCTTACAGAGAGGAAAGAGACTTTAATGTGATTCGAAGTAATCCAGGGACAAGATCTGCCATTATGTTGCACTGCTGTTCGATCTCTCTCTGAGAAGCAATAATTATTTTGATGTACAGGTGAATGAAAGAAACTGATTGGTAACAACTGTGCAGTTTTTTGTGTCTCCTGAGCATTTTCATCTCTTCCAGTTGGCAGGTTTTCATTCTCACTGATTTAATTTTGGATCCTCTCGAACTTCCTTTCTCATGAATTTTGTCTTTTCTGATTTTTTTATCCAGGCGGAAGAAGCGGCACAACGAACGATGCATCCTGACAAAGTTCAAGACCTAGATGAAATGCTGTCTTCCCTTGGTGTAGCTCCAGTTTCTGGTAACTAAACAACATCCCTTTCATCATCTTTCTCAATGTACTCATTGACGGAGGTATTCAGAGATGCAGAAAGTTCTCAGACTTCCCATTTCAAGAACATTTATTCCCTAATAAATCTCTATGTATTGAAATTTTTTTGGTTTTTCATGTACAAATTACAAAGATTTGTGAGAAGTATGCACTTATACCGCTGTTTTGCCAAGAATCTGAAACGCTTGCTTCAATTTTAAGGAAACTGCAATTTTTATGCTGGTGGGTCTGGCCATCTCATTTTCAAAACTAGTTTTTTAGATCTTACGTTTTTTCCTCGCGACCAGTTGCAGACTGCCGTTTGTGCAGCGGATAAGTTTCTGCATCCCCAGAGATATTTGTCAGCAACTAGAGAGGACCAAGTCTTTAGGAAAGAGCATCCTAAAGTTTTCCATGCGCTGAAAGATTTTACATAATGAGGTATCAGTAGACAACCTGTAACCGCAGGCAAAACCAGGGTAAGACAAGAATTGACAAATATCTCATCAATCTGAATGCATCAATTATCTGGTGGCCCATTGGGTACCCTATAAAATTACGTTGAATGGTGCTAATTTCGGAAGTGACATTTGTCCACTCTTTCCTTTCTTCAGCTGTATCACAACTATTAGGAGTTCATATTACAGAGATTTTATTTACTAGGACTATTAGGTCTTTTTACATATTTCTGTTTATTTTGACTGTTAGGTCTATCAAATTGTTCTATCGTATTTAATTGTGTCTTTGGCTCAAGAGGCAATGAATCATATTAGAAGTTGAAAAAGTTAAAGTTTTGATGGAGTTTTTTTTTTTTTTTCCCCTTTAATAAAAACACTTAGTTTTGCACTGCAAAACCTGTGCAACCAATCTGTGTCCTACGTCATTTTATTCAGTTTTTTTTTATACCCAGGTGACTTTACAGATGGGTAGATGTCCAACCTGCTTTCAACCACTCAAGAACCACATTTACTCCCAAGCTTTTCTGTGAATGTGACTGGCAGTTTTTCATTCCAAAGATTTTTCTACTCTTAAAATGTTTGTTAAAAAAAAAAGAAAAAAATTATATCCTCCTGTGAATGTACTTAAGGTGATTCAATGGATGCCATATTTTGTGTCAGAACAGCATGTGATATATCACATCAACTGGTTCCATTTTTTCAGCTACTCGTCATTTTTCTCCAATTTTGAGATCGCAATTTTGTTGTCAGGAGACTAAAGCACTCACTGACCAATTTTAACAAAGAATTTCAACGTAATAAAGGCGTGGTTTTTTTAGAGAGAAAATAACGCATTCGAGTGCAGTTTCGATATCAGTATCGAATGCGATGTTTTCTCTTTGAAAAAACCACGCCTCTAATACGTTGAATTTCTTTGTTAAAATTTGTAAGTGAGTGCTTTAGTCTCCTGACAACAGAATTGCGATCTCACAATTGGAGAAAAATGACGAGTAGCTGAAAAAATGGAACCAATTGATGTGATATATCGCATGCCGTTCTGATACAAAATATGGCGTCCATCAAATCACCTTAACTACTAAGCAGACATGTTTCCTTGGCTCTACTGTCAGCATTCTCAGTGGCTCTGAAGAACTTGGAGGTTGAGCCGATGAAATGCATCCGCCCAATAAAAACTTATCTGCCGTTGGAGGATTACATAAAATTCATATTCATTTTCTTGTTTAGCTCTCCAAAGAAGTTATTGACAAGTTTTGTATGTTTTTGCTTCAGATGTTTTATCTAGTCTATCAAGTATATCTCCTAAAACCACTGATCAAAATAGCACACCAGATGCCAGTTTGCAGTCCAATGCAACGTCTACAGCCAGGTATACACAACAAAATGATTTCATAGTCTATTGTTGATGCTAATTTAATTGATTCAAGAGGAAATGAATGATTAGAAAGGAGTTCATAAGTCCACTCTGTAACATAATTATGCTCTTTTCATCGTCCTTTTCATGATTTCAGTAGGTATTATTTATAAAAAAGACCTCACAGATTAAATGCAAATATTTATCAAGCACATACTTACAAAAAATAAAATAAAAAAACTGCTCTCTTTGTGCCAATTCCAAGAAAAGCAGGGCTGAAGCCAAAACGCTTGACTATTTGACATGTATTCTCCAATAGGAATGTTATTACATCATATGAATAATCATGAAGAGCTCTCATTTCCTAGCTAGCCAGGATAGTCAAATAAATGCCACTTGTCCTAACATTTTCGCATTAATTTTCTGAAACGATGACAGCATTCCACATGCAAACAATTGGTTTGTTTATAGATCTGATACTTAGGGCAGTTCCACAACTCTACAATGACACATTGGTGAAAATGTTGCAAAATTCGCTTTTCAAACCAGCTTTTCTTAAACTTTGGACCCATCATGTTCAATTTTAAAAACTTTACATGTTAAGGAGTTAGTAAAGAACATCTCATCAATAAAAACTAAACTTAAGCAAGCGTCAGGATCCTTCATTTAACATGGGTCTTTTTGTGAATCTTAAAACTAAGTAGCAAGCCATCATACTTCACTTCCCTTGCTGACTCTAAAGACCATTTTGATAGACTTTTTATGATTTCACCAATTTTGTTTCTTGAACAGTGATATCTCAGCAAATGTTAGACCCAGAAACTATGTGTATGAGAAGCTCTTTTTATTCTCTGTCAACCCAAAGGATTGACCTAGCAAGGAAGGACTTCTTATTGTGGATTGCTAAGTTTGTTAAATTTTGCTGTTTTTCTAAAAACTATTTTCCTTTTTCAGTCGTCCAAAAGCCCCTCAGTTAAGTGTAGTTAATGTTCAGACAACATCTATATTACCCAAAGAAGTTGTGACGTATTCAAAACCAACCCAAACAGACCCAGCATCGCATGAAAGAGACGGTAAGTTATTCTTTCAATTCTCCATTGTATCGCAATTGGTTATTTAAAGTTGATCTTATATAACTTTTCAGTTTTGAAACTCGTACAATCATAAAGTCACGGAATTTGATTTGAGTTGATTATGTTTTCAAAACGAAATCAAGCTCCATGATTATTTTACGATCTTAATATTGGTTATCGCAAATATTTAAATGTTTGGCTCACCTAATTTTCTATCCCTAAAGCTTCAAAGTAAGACAAAGTAATTAAATATTTTCTAGTAAGGATCACACTGCTAATGGTTGTACTGAGAAATGTATAAAAATATTGAAATATTGTTTGGAGGCATTTTTAATATCGCGCTTTGAAGACCACTGATAAGGACAGATTTGACTGGAATTAATCCAACTGCATTTCACGCTGCCTAATTTTCTGTCATGTTCTATTTTTTTTAAAACAGAGATCTGAACCTCTTAATGCCTTCAAGTCCTCTGTAAATTTATCCACGAACGTGAAAATTTTACTGATACAATTTCAAGTTTCAGTGTTGCTTGGTTTTCTGTTTATAAAGTAAAACATCAGAGCAAATTAGAAAATGTCTGATGTAGGCAGGCTTGTTTTGGTCAAATCCGTCAAAGTATTGTTTCATCAGTTGTTTTGTTTGGAAGTAAACATAAAGTTTAAAGCCCTACCCAAAGCAAGTAGTTTTCGTGTGCTGCTAGAACGTTTTTCATTTTTGTGACCATATGAGACCTAATGTATTTTTAAAAATGGATGCTCAGCTCAAAACGTATTGCTAATCCGCCGTTTTTATGTATGAAGCTTCATATGATTCTCATTATGGCAACAATAGAGTAATATTTGCTGTAGGGTAGTGGAAAAATTCATTTATCAAGCAGCTACAATTGTAGATGACCAAGTTAGTTTTTGGAGTCTTTTCTTGGCCAGCAATGTAACACAAATGCTCCATGAATAACTAGAAAAATTTACTACCTATCCTAGGTAATTGCTATCATCATGTAACTTTCGAACCAAATTGTCTTGGCCCCTCATGGAGGAGCATATCTTGATCGCACTGTTTCAGTATTTCGTCCTTGCATTTTATTTGTTTTCAGGAGAGCCACCATATGAATTTTCCTAAGATTTTTTATGATTTCTCTTCCTTTTTGTGAGAAAAGACTCTTGAAATTTTCAGACTGTTGGTCCAATAGTTTTCCCATGTAAAAATAAATTGTTTGCAGAAATACTGAACCGGCACAGGCAAGATGCGTTCCTTCATGTGAAGACAAGGAAATATGGACCTACAGTTGGACGTATTTCTATCAAACAGAACTATCAGCAGAAGAACAGATGGGGTGTGCTCGTTCGTGCTCGGGCCTTAAGAATGAATGGGAAATACAAAGCGCCAGTGATGTCAGCGACAACGACGAGAGAAACGACAATCAGGAAGGCGGTCTTGAGCTCATGAGCCCTGTCTGCAAGGCTCTAGATACATGTCCACGGCTCATGAGTGCAGCACTTAGTTGGCTCACAGTTCTGTTTGCTGAATTGGAGAAGCGGGATTTCTTGTTCCATCAAACGAAACTATGTACACAGTGTATGATCCGTGGGCATGTATCTAAGGCCTTTTGGACAGGGCTCATGAGTTAGAGACCGCCTTCTTGATCGTCATTTATATCGTGGTTGCTGCTGACGTCACTGGCCCTTTGTATTTGCCATTCATTCTTATGGCCCGAGCACGAACGAGCACACCCCATCTTTTCCTCTGCACGTAGTTCTGTTTGATAGAAATACGTCTAATACCAAAACTCAAATCATATATTTAACTGAAACTTTTATACTTGGTTTAGCATTTTGCATGGAAATCATCTTGCTTTTTTAATTGATAAAATGTTTCCATCATACATTTCATTTTCGGTACTCATACAAGATTCATTCATTCAATGCCATGTTTTTCTGAAAGTTTTTCATGAGGTATGTTTTTATCAGATTTTGTGTGAAACATCTCATTTCATGTTTTTCATGCTACATCAATGCAAGGTAGGGGAGAGGGAAGAGAAGTGAAAAATATTAATTAATCAGCAATTTGTGTGTTTATTAATGCTCCTAAAATAAAATTTTTAAAATCATTCAAAGTATCAGATATTTTGGACACTTCTCAACATGATCTTAATCTAGTTTTTCAGGAGGCAGTAATTCAGAAATGCTATGCCACAATCCTAAATTTTTGTCAGTGTTTAATCCAATCTTCTTTTTTTAATTCTTGTCTGTTTTTTCCCCTCTTTTGCTATCTTTTTTCGGGCTCTTTCGTATTAAGGTTACTTTGAGGATTGGTGGAGACCTCGTAAAGGTGTGTGATGTAAAACCTCTGTTAAGAGTCATTAGTGTCTCGTGTTCATTTGCGTTGTATGTCTCACCGTATATTGCCCTCCAATAGTCGACTATGCAGGCAAAAGTTGCATGCAATGTGTCCTTGACGAATTTCTGTGACTGCGTTTGGAAGGAAGGACCATGATGATAAAACCTTTCGGATAGAAAATCCTCATAAAAACCAATTGTGACTGGATCTATAAAAAAGGACCCCTTCCTTGGGGAGAAAATTTTCCCTGACTTTTTTCATTGTGCAGAGGAAGCAAATATGGAAAATATGATGCATGTTTGAGCTCAAAAATTTAAGGAGATATGGGTCCTGAAGTTCCAAGACACAAATTTCTAGGTTGTGAATAAACGTGGCTTATATTTTTGAAAATTGCCAAGGAATATTTTCTCCCAGAGGATGTGGTCCTTTTTCTCAGATCTGGTCGCAATTTTCAATTAGTCCCTTTTCCCAGATCTGGTCGCAATTTCCAATTATTTTCAAAATGTATTTTTCCTCAGAAGCTGAGCAAGTGCTCTCTCAAGGCCTGGAATCAAGGTTTGAAAAAATTTATTTCCCAGCCCAGGAGAACAGAGCATGAAAGGAGGTGGATAGTTGATTTTTTTTCCATTTCTTCCCAGAAATTTGGAATAATTCTCAGTTTGTTATGACTTTCTAACCTTTTTGTCCAATAAATTATACAAACATTTCCTCCCTATGGAGTGGCACAAATTAGTATCTCAATTATTACTCATGTGTCCTTTTGTTTCATGCTCAGTCACAAATTTGACGGCAAAGTAAAATGCCTGAGAAAATCATTAGTAGATTAACCTTGTCAAAAATCGTTGTATTACTGAAAGCAGGGATGCAGAAAATTCCCAGCCCATCCAATTTCCAAATTGGTCCTCTTATTTTATAAATATCTCTCCTCAAAATTTTTAAAGTCATGATTTATCCCCCTGGTCTATGAGCAATTTGTTAAAAAAACGCTACCAAGGGTTCGCCCCCTCCTTTTCTTAGGTCACATCATGGGGAAGTTTCTGCACTCCTGCCTGAAAGTAATTGTGCCTAAGTATCATACATGGCGATTCATTCATCTCGACTCGTACAAATCAATTAGTTAGCATGTTGTTTTTTTGCAATACATTCTTTTATGTTCATCATGTAAAAATAGTGCTTGCCAGTTGTGCAATTTAATTAGAATAATTTCAAAATCCAAATCGTAGCGTTTCTGATTTTAGTGGAATTGTGAAGTAGCTAAGTCTGGTGGCATTTACTGCGTAGGACCAAACTTTTTTTGCCTATCTCAAAAACAACATATCTGGTTGTAATTTATTTTCTCAGAAAGACTTTTTTCTATATTAATTCACATTTACTTATACCTCATTGATAAATGCTACCCATCTATTTTCCGAAACATGTTGACCCTTTCAATTCCACAGACAAGTGCACTCCCGTAATGATGTGCGAATATTATGTCCTGCCGCTGCGAACGCTTTAAGACGCTTTATGTTGATGAGATGACAGAATTAGAATTTTGACCCTCAAAGTCAGTCTGAGAGATTATGAGCTGCAAGTCTGACATATTTTTGACTAAGTCATGCTGCTTCAGAAGAAACCTTGAAGGAGAAGGGCTAAAATATGTAATGCCATTATTTTTCCCAACCTGTTGAATGGGTTTGCATGGTGAGTCTTAACCTGGTATTGGAAGGGTTAAAATGCAGTGTAGTAAACCACTAGACAAGGCATGGATTGAAGCATCACAGAGGATATTTACTCTTCAAAAGTTTACTAGGAGAATGAATTACGCGACAGAATGTCTGGAAATCAAATCCTGAAAAAGATACAAGCACTCACAATAAACATTGGTCAAATGGCTAAAATATTAATGATGTTACTGGTATCATTTAACTTCCATTTGATCTGGGTTCAAAATACTCATTAATATCCTGTTCAGGAGTTGACTTTCTAACTTCTTGCTGTGCGAATCGTTTTTTTACGAAAGATTTTGAAAAGAAAATTTGTGACATTTTTTTCCAGTTCAGACCTTGTGTAGCAGCCCATTTTATAGTGAGATCGCCATCTGGTATACTTTTTCCCACTAGATCAACCTTTAAAAAGACAAGCATTTATTATCTATGTAGAGCCAGTTGTTGAGTTTTTAAAAATCTCATTTTATCTCTTGAATTTAGTCTCTTCATAATGATTCTATTTTTGAAGTTGTAGTTTTGCTGATCTAATGTTGTTTTCTTTTTTCCTCTTTGTCTCTCTGCCTTCGCTCTTGCCTCTCTATCTTTTGGTGACGATTTGGTCCTGCAGCTGCCCACGCCTTCGGTTATTACGGTAAGTCATTGTTCTTCTCGCACCTCTTAGTCTAAAGTGAAATCATCGTCAGATTGTGCTGAAAATTCAGCACTTTTCCCCTTTAAGCTCTATGTAAAATTTCTGGGCTTTTCACACAATCTGGCTACCCTATGCAAAATCATTTGTATCTCAGATCTCCTCACCCCTGAATTTTTAGCAGCAGCCAACAAGGCTTTCGAAACTCTATGTCTCTTGCCTGGAGGAATATATTTCGAAAGAGCTGTTTTAATATTTCTTAATTATATTTTATTTGATGTAGGAAAACTTATTCATGAATTTGTCTGAAGTTTCTGGTCATTTTTCTCTAACTTTGCCTTTTAAAGACTCAGAAATTTTCAGACCAATTTGTGTAAAGGTTCTCCCTTGAATTTACATGTTTGTAGAAATACTGTAATAGAGCAGATGAGATAAGTTCCTTCATGCTAAAGAAGACGAATTAAGCAAGTGACTCACCATGTTTTGAAAGTTAAAAAATTCAGACCAATTATAGCTTTTGTAATTCCTGTTTTCTTGTAGGCTTTTCATGTGATGGACTAAGAAAAGTCCCATCAACGCACATCATCAATCCCCACACACACAACAATCCCCCCTTCCCCTCCAAAACCAGAAAAATAGAAGAATGACAAAAATATCCCATCTTTTTGTTTCCTGTATCGTCAAGTATTTTTCTAGATATCTGGAGGGTATCATGGATGAATTATTTAAGTGACGTAATGGTGATTTCCAGAAGAAAGCGTAGCTGAGTTCACCCTCATGATAAAGTAAAGTCAAAATGCTGTGATAGGTATGACTCTTATAAGATGAACTCTTTAACTGATGAAAATGAGCTCAATCGTTAGTTTGTTTCTCGAAGTTCACCACAAAGCAACTTCTACTGGAAATGGCCAATACAGTAATACCTCGATTTTTTGATGAATTGTGGTAGAATCCTAATCTGGGTACTGAAAATGCGGCAAATTGAAAATGTATAAATTTCATAAAACTACATGAAATATGAATGGAAGAAACTAAGAAAAAACAAGAATTTTTCATTCAAGGAACTCATTGATGTCACTTAATTCCTATATGTACTCTTGTTATTTTTTTTGTTGGGTGACCGTAAATGCAGTTACAGTAACGGTAGATTTTTCCCTATCAGTGTGATTCCAAGTTTGCTAGATGGCTTTTTAAGGTTTTTATTCAAGCGTAGCTGTGTTAATATTGTATTCCCTCTCTCCCTCCCTCCAATCCCAGCCCTTTTTCCTCAGTGCTCTTAGGTACTGTTGCCTTAAGGATATTTATTTTTGCCAAAAATTCGGCAATTTTTTTAATTTAGTGTATTTTGCTCTCCCCCTTTTCATCACCTTTACCTCGATTTAACACTTTTCTCCTCTCACTTAGTTTTCCAAATTTTACGGCATGTTGTTGAACTGAGGAGCAAGAAATTTCTCAGCTGTAGAGTTGAAGCCAATCAGTGTGAGATTCGTGAATGGTGTTCTTTATTAGTGCTACCTTTAAAAAATGTTTACGCTCTCCTTGCATACTTGCTCTCCAAAAATGTCAATTCAAGTCTGGTGACATTTTACCTTCATGTTTTAGTTTTCCCAGTCGGTACTTTCGTTCAGTGTCCTAGACGTAATCGTTTCTACCATTTTATTAACTTCTTTTTTTTATTATTGGTAAAAAATTTGATTTAATCATACAATCTAACGCATCCTCCGAAGGTAATATTTTTTGTTTTATTTGATGATTCCGTCATTTTCTATTATTTTGCTCCTTTGGTTTTTTTTTTGTATTTTAATTTTAAAATTTGTTACGTAATTAAGTTTTTTATCTGTTAATTTTTATCTCTCTTATCTCATCTGTCTTCTGTTTTTCACTAAGTATTTTTTCTTTTAATTTTCTAGTTTAGACTTTTTTCTTATTCATCCGATTAAATTTTGTTGATGTTTGAATCAATCCAATGACAACTAAAGATGGTTGAAATTAAGCATTACATCACATGTTTTCTCAACAAAATTTTAGGTTAAAGACATTGAAAAAATCAACAATTTTGACAAGGAAACATACATGCATTGTGGTGCTTGATTTTGTACCGTATCTAGTGGTCCATTGTATTTTGAGCGCTGTAGATACATTTCGTTAGTAGCGTTTTTAAAAAAATCCCTTATCAGTATACTACTAGCACCCTCTGATTTGTGAATAACAGCAAATTTTTAGAAGGCTACTCCTTTCAGAACTGAAAAAGCTACCTCTCTTACTAGCCGCATTCATCGTCATTCCTTTAAAAGCTTCTTTCCTTTGGAAGTCCTGCTATGGTTTGCATTGTGATTAATAAGGGCTATTTTGAGGAGATCCGCAAACTACTGTTGAGTAGAATTCAACTGAAAAACTTCAGGAATAGACCCTTGTACGGGCCTATAATGCTTTGCCTCTAAAAAAAATTTAAAGCTCAATAGGAAAGTTTTTTAGGGTTTGAAAACATTTACCCTAAAATTTTTGTCAAAATCATATCATTTTTTTCTTCAACATTTTTTATCTCTTGCTGTGGTAAATAACTGTTCTCCCTTGCAATGATCTAATGCCAACGTTATTCTGTTATCTTTAACTAGAGATTTGTTAAATGTGTCCATCTGACATTGCTGCATTTCAAATATCTCCATAAACCTCCCCTCTAAGGAAAGGCACCGTTTGAGGAATGACTGTGAGTAAGGACCTCTGTCTTGTTCCTCTGTGTATATGTTCTTTGGGCTGTAAGAACATTTACCCAGGAACAGCTCAGTTTTCTCAGATCGAAATATTCAGACTGTTTTCAGTTAGACTTCTCTTTTCATTACTGCTTTGTATCCCTATTGTTTGGAGGGTTACCTAAAACCAGTGGGACAATCCTACCTGGTAGAGCTTTTTAGCTTGTTCAAGGGCAGAGTTTAATCAGAGGCAGCAGTTTGAATTTCCCTCCAATGTCCCTCATTGTCAATTTAATACGACTTGTAAGTTCATCAGATTTTATTTTTTCGTGATCTCCAATCACTGTTTGATAAGCTTGTAGAGATATCAGGTGATTTGCTTCAAACTGCCGCTGAGAATCTCTTCCGCCCATTTTAATAGCATGATTTAGAAAGTATGTTTGTATGATTTTTCCATGTGAATATTTTACTCATACTGTGGAAGTGTGAGTAAACTTCTATGTCGGGGAATACAGGAAACAAAATTAGGTGTCTTGAAGCAAAGTCCATTTGGGATAAACATGAGTTATTGGGGGATCTGTTAGGATTTTTCACACTAAATTCGGATCCGAACTCCAAATCCTAAAATAAGGGCTCTGAAATCTGGCCCAGTAGATGTCTTTTTTCCAATGCAAACATCAAGCTCCGCATAAAGCCCTCTTTTTCTCTTTCTTTTTGAGTTTTTCCTATTAGTTTTTTAGGACACTCCCCCCCTTCCCCACCCTTCCTGTTCTGTCTCCCATTACACTGCCGTTGCCAGCCTGCGTCCATGGTGTTGGTGTAGTATTCTACCGCTTGCCTCTCAAAATTAGTTCTCTCAAAGTATTGTTTTTCAGTTTTGCTTGCATACAATTTTTAAGTCAGGCTCTCGAGAATTGTGCAGAGTGCAGTTTTTCGTTTGATTCCACTTGTCTGCCATGTCGTACCTTTATTTCTCCGTGCGTTCAGGCCTATAAAGCAGTAGGCATCCTCAATTTCAATTTTATCAATTAATGTATTTTTGCCCTTGGAATCTGTAGACACCCTGGTTATGCGTTTACTCGATGATCCTAGTTTTTCACGTTTTTTACCTGAAGCTCCAAATTTGTGAAAATCACAACACTACGCATTTGAATTGTGTTAGGAAGGAGCAGTGTTTTTTTGATAATTTTGCATGATAAGAATCCCTGGTAAACACTGTTAAGTATTTGAGTTTAATTTGTGTAGTTTCTCACAAATTCGGTGAACCTGAAAAGTTATTATCATTTCAATGAAATTAATTAATGACTTGTTGTTATTGGTCGTTAAAATTAACCAACCTCATCAAAAAAAGTGAGGCTCATTTTTTTTTCCTACTTCTGTGTTTGAGTAGAATGTGGTGTGAATGTCCCAGAAGTCTGTAATATCCTCAGAAAATGAACCAAAAAGCATTACCCTCTTTACACATAGCTGTTGGACTATTAGAATAGCCAATGGATGTTGAGCTGTTATTAATGCTGCAGCGCTAAGAAAAAACGCTGTATGAACATTCGAATGTTGCCAAGTCTCCGCTCGTAAAACTTTTATTTTTAAAGAAGATTATGAATATTTTTCTTTTCAATTTTCAAATATTTCAAATAAAACTATGCACAAAATTTTTGAAAAATCTAGAGTCAAATATTTACAAATTCTTCTGAAAATTCGTGATTTGTTAGAGGAAACTTGGCAGCGTCATAAGGCTTATACGGCATTCTTCCATAGCACTGCAGAATGGATAAAGTAGTTGCATGCTCAGTTTTTGCAAAAAATCCATCATTTTTACACCTTTCTCATTTCACAAAAATATTTTTTTTTAAATTTTCCTCTCGTTTGTGGCTAATTTTTAGCTGAATAAAACCTCTAATAGCGTTTTATATCTTCAAAACTCTCCTTCATACCCTATTTTATCTCCGTTTAAACATATTCTCTATGAGCGACCCAAGGCAAAGTGTTCTATGAGATAATATCCTGGGATAGCCGAGTAGCTCTTGTTATAATGGAGTAATAGTTTCTACGATTAATAGCTCTTGTTATAATGGAGTAATAGTTTCTACGATTAATTTTAGGTCTTGTAAGTTTATGACAAGGAAATTGCTGCCTCCTATGAATCTTCCATCCCTAAAAATATTTCATATTTGTACTCTCTCTCCCCTGGCATCACATCACTTTTCGAATCATTCGATAGAGCTGCCTCAAAATATAATTTAATAATAGTCTCAAAAAAGTTGCATTGCTACTTTTATCTCAAAATCCGAAACACACAAGTGAATGTATCATAATTCCAGGAAATTTTAGCAGAGGAGAATATAGTCTAGGATAATATTGATAAAAACCAAGAAGAAAAGAATAGGAAAGAAAAACCCTTGATCTGTTAAGATTTAATTTTAAACAGAAAGAAGGAAAACAATTAGTTGGTAGGATCATAGCAGAAAACTCCAGTTCATTTAATACCAAGACAAAACAGTTTATTTTTGTAGCGGCAGGAATTATTTCTACAAAAACCCAATCACAGCACAAAAATATTGTCTCTCTGTGAAGCATTGGAAATGATCGAATCTGTTCAAATTCTCTTCTTTCTGCTTGTTTGTATTTTAGAATAGATCAGCGACTGATAGATGCATTTTTCAGCACATATTTTTATTTAACAGCAATCTTATGAACCTCTTCAATTTTGACTTTGTATGAAATAACCGAATCATTTTATTTCCGCAAAATATGGTGATTGTTACCTTTGGTTTGTTCTGTTTCTGTATCAAGATGAATACAATCTTAACCCTGGTCTAGAGTGGGAGGACGAGTTTACAGGTATGTACACCAGAGCGCTCTGCTCTCACCTTCGATAGTTTTACTCTAATTTCTCTCTTGCCCAGAATTTACTGTGGAGGTTGCGTTACATTGTTCCGTCAAATATAGAAACATACCAGCGTTGAGCCATCATAATCACTAATCAACTAGGATCATTCTGCTAGAATTCGGGATCGAAGAGGACAGACAATTTGAAAATACTAATTCAGCCTTAGGTGTCCCCGACAGTCACTTGAACTTGAATTTGTCTTGTACGCTCTAATTTCCTTCTACATTTTGTATCAAATGTGTCTATTTCAATTGCCTCCAGCTTCTTGTCAGCTTCATGGTGGGCGAACCTTATCCTCTCCAAATGTGTGATGCAGTGAAGTAGGGGTGCCAAAAGTTCAGAGACTTCTCCCAACTTCAATTTATCCTCCTCCATTTTCAACCGGAATTCTTGATTGCCTCCCGTTGAAGAGAGAATAAAAACAACAGCAATATTTTACTATAAACATTAGACTTTTTCACTGCGGCAACGCTGTATTTTGTAAAAATCTAAGAAGGCTCCCTTGTCTTGTCAAGTTTTCTCAGGGGCTCTCCCTTTTTTCCCTGTTCCGGCTGCGGCTCCTCCACTTCACGCATCTAAGCCGGTTGCAAGTTTAAGAAGTTTCTGCACCCATGTAGTAAAGAATCTTTCAGAGGTTCAGCTGAAAGCTCAATTGTTTTCATGTCACCAAAAACTTGCCTAAGCACTCTACATTTTCTGAAACTTGAATTTTTCCCTCAATAATCATAAATAATTTAATTTTAACTTAAATCGATTGTGTGTCCCTATCCGAAGAGATAATTGAAATAGTCAGGTTTGGTCTATCAAGGACGCCTAGTTTACCTCTCAAGACTTGCGAAAGCAAAAATTCCCACCGTAGCAAAATGTAAGATTAATATACCTATCATATAGATTTTGAGGATATCCATTGACTCGAATGTCTTTAATGAATTTAACTACCCTGGAATTTCCACTTTAACAATGAAACGTTAGTGCAAGAGGAAACCTCCATTCTAATTTTGATTATCGTCTTTCCCATCCTATAGTCTCTCTAATGTTTTTGCTGATTTTTGATTCAGGCTTTTTCACTAATTTTGTATTTTCTCGTTTTGATATCTAACACATAATGCAACTAATCAATATCTAACACAAAATGCAACTAATCTAACTCGTTTCACGTAATGATCATGCTCCCGTTCGTTTGCATTCACAAAAATATTTATTTGTTCGGTTTGTAGTAAAGTCCAAGTCAAACTACGAAAAAAGAGAAAAGGAAGGCCCTGGATAAGTTACTTTTTCTTAAATTCTTCAATACCCCCAAAAATTTGACTTATCTATATGTTTGAGTCGGCAAATTTTACATTCTGATGAACATATTGACCATTTTCTATCCAAATCGCTGCTTTGCTTACCCAAGCTTTCTTGCTTGCCGTCATAATGCACCCAGTGTTCTTATGTACTCAGAAACATTGAAACCATATCGATTAGTCCTCTTTTATGAAATCCAGACCTTTTAAAGCACAGCTTTCACCAGCGAATGTTGTATAGAATCAAAAGTAGCACTCTCACAGTGAGGAATTTGCCCTTTTTGAGCAGTAAATTGCACTGGTGGAAATAGATTTGCTCAAAAATATGGAAATAAAACGTCAAGCTAATTTTTGATGAAGCAAGTTAAAATGGGCTGTTTTATTTCGAATTTGTGTCACTGTTTTGCACGTTACCTAATTTTCTCTGATGTTTTATTTTTTAAAGGAGAGCTGAAGTTGGAATTTATTTTTAGCCAACGTGCGTTAAAAATCAGCATAAAGCTGAAAATCTTAATACAGAGGGAAAAAGCTCTTATGAGCACAATTTTCCTTCAAAGAGATACGCTGTTTGGTGCAACAGACCATCCAGGAAGGCAACTGCAGAGCTTGGTAGCAGGAAATTCAGGAGGCTGCTTTGCACTGCGGATTGGCCCACTAAGGCCGAAACGCGTCTGCAGTTGCCTTCCTGAATGGTCGTTACTAGTGTTGCACCACACAGCGTAACTCTTTGAGGGAAAATTGTGCTCATATGAGCTTTTTCCCTCTGTATTGAGATTTTCAGCTTTATGCTGATTTTGATTTGTAAAAATTCCAACTTACTGTATTACAACCTGTGCGTCTATCGCAGTCAGTTTGTGTAGAACTGAAGTTCTTGGCGCCATTACAATTACTGTGAATTTATTCCTGATTATGATGAATGGACTCACAAAATTTGACCTTTCAGTGTTTCTTGGTTTTGTGTTAAAAAAATGACACATCAAAGAAACTTTGGTAACGTCTCATGTAGTTACATTAATGCCAGTTTAAGCCGGCCTAATGGTTATCTTTGGTTCTAAAAGGAAACGTCAAAAGTAAGAAAGGCAATATTAAACGGACAATATAAACCATGTGGCGTCCCTTAGGGGAAGCTAGCAACCCAATAAAGGCGAAAAACTTAGAAAGGCTTCCTGTTACTGTCTCAAATGCTCTGTGTCCGTGCATATCACCACATATTTGCGCACTTTAATGTTGCTTCGGGAAGAATCGGTTCTCCAAGATGTTTTGGATTTTATTTGCTTGAATATATACCAGTCACTGTTTTTACTTGATATGCAAGCCCCTGCAAAATTCCATGACAGTGAAACTAACTTCGTTGCTTTGCAAAAAATGAGTCCACTCATTCAGCTACGTTATGAAAGCTGTACACTTGATACAAAACCAGCCAGTGTAGAGCATTCTTGTTACAGGTTGTCTCTATGAACCATTACAAATCATCTACCTCGTGTAAATTCAGTTTCTGCTGAATGAAGAAAACGAGTCTCTCTCTCCTCCCCAGATTATTCTGATCAGTGGCGAAGCCAACTCAAATTGGACTGCATTTTGCAATGTGGAACTTAAATTTCTGGCTCTTCTGGAAAAACACTTATGTGCAATTGTGCATAGGGAAACTAATGGCACATACGTTGTTTTTAAACCGGGGAAGAATTTACAGTTCCAAATTGCAAAATGTAGTCCAATTTATCCAAGCTGTAGCCTCTTTCTGTTTTCCTTCTTGTCATCCCAACTGCCTTTCCTCTCCCTCCCTCTTTAAAATAAGCCCATTCCTTTTATTCCGAGTTCCAGAAACCTTTGGCAAAGCACTTTTTGGCTTCACTACTGTTTGTACCAATTTTATTTGACCACCTCAAAACTTAGCGGTGCAACCTTATATTTTTTTATGCACTAATACACACAAGCGCACTTCTTTACGTTTTGAAATATTCCGAAGAAAATATTGATGGTGACACTCCCAAATGACGCATCTTGTTTGCATTGTTCATAAATCTTCACTCCTATTTTGTTTTTTTCAAAAGAGAGCAAATCAACATCATTCCTTGAAATTTTGTCAGAATTTGCTTTGCACAGACAGGAAAAATCACGGAAGTTTTTAAGAATTGAATCGGAGAAGTTCTTCTTTCAGAAAATGAAGTATGACAGGAAATCTATAGATGCTTGATTTTGGAGTTTCACCGCTGATATGTAGATTTTTTTCCCAGAAAGCCTGACATCATTACTTCTCACCTACATCTCCTGAAAAAACAGTATCGATAGCAAATCGTTGCCTTTTTGATAAACAATACTTATTCTGGGAAACATTCTTGGGCTATGTTTGTAATTCTTTGGGAGAAGTTCCAACCGAATGATCTAAACTTTTCTCACATTTTTCATGTTACTCATTGCCGATCAGGTTGTTACTCTTGTCAGCCAAGTTATAACTGCCGTGATAGTGAGGAGAGCAGTAAGTGTCAAATTTTCGAAATCGAGTTTCCTTCAAAATCCGTCTAATCTCTTTTAGATGAAATCACTGAATTAGCTAAAATAGCAAAATTCATCTGAATTGTATGACGACGAGACATATGAGAAGCTGTAACTGCGCAAAAAATTACGTAGTTTCAGGAGGTTTCTTCCAATAAAATTTTCGGCTCAGACGCTTCTGCGCCCGTTTTCTGTAAACTTCATTTTTTCTCTTACTGCTCTCTTTGCTATCATGGCAGATATGTTGTCTGTTTAAAAAAAGAAGCGATTCCCAAACCTCAGTTCTCTCATCGATGACGAGGGCCCTTTTGGTAATCGAGCCGAGTGTAGGTAGTCTTTAAGTTCCTATTGCCTTTTGCGGAGAGCAAAATTTATTTACCAAGTAGTTTTGACTTATGACGAAGCGGAAGATGAAGAAAACTCGTTGGGGCCCCACTTGGATGGATTCCATTCGAAACTCCCGCCAGGAATACTGCCCCATGGTCTGCCGCAGGTGAAGGATGTTCAGCCGGCTGTCACATCCCTCGAGACGGAGGAGAAGAAAGAGAAGGAGAAGAAACCTCGTAAGTTCCCCTCAGTGTATCTCTAGTTTTCTTCACTGACTCTGTCAAGTACGCTAAAAGTTATCCATGACAGAGATAATTTTCTCTTATGGCAATGCTGCATTTCCCAAGAAACTAAAGTTGGTAGTGAGCTTGGTTTTTCTTCGATCATTTTGACTTGGTTAACTCAATGTCGATACTGTCGCTGGCACCTGACAAAGTTCTTAGTAGAGAATTTGCAGGTGTCTGAAATTTGATGAATTTCGTATTCTAGTGGAAACTACTGAGTGAACTAAACATGAAGATACCCTTGGTTCATGAATTGAACAATTATTGGAGAAGATATGACAAAATGATCTAATCTGCTAAAATACATGTGTTTCAATGGGAAGTGCCGCCAGATGACGTCACTAGGCAGTGCATTTTCTCACTTTTAAATCTATTTTTACACTATTTCGCATATCAGTGAAAAATTACAAAAAATACCCTGACATCAGCTCTTTAAGCACTTTCAGATGAAGAAATGAAAAATTTGCATGCAAATTCTTCATTCTGAGAATGTTCAGTGATTCCTTATGTGTAGGCTGATTGTTGAAATTGGTATACAAAGTGATAGACAAAGAAGACATAAGGAGTTTGGAGCGTTGTTGTTGGTTGAAACAGGTGGCTCTTATAGACTAAGGTAGAAAATGATGGACAAACTAAAGGGTCTCTCGTGGGCTGCCGTTAGTCTATTACCTACCTCCTTTGTCCATTACAACCTCCCGCTTCCACCAACAGGATCCCTCCATAGCCCTTTTGTCCTCTTTGTCTACCAATAGAAAAAATCAGCCCGCTGGAGGTACATATCCTCTTTTTTAAACTCAGACTGAAGTGAAGTTTTATATTGGCAGCTGAAGTTGCAAAATATGTTTTTCAGATTGCAGCATTTTAAGTCGTTGCTCCTGTTTTATTTTTTTCAAAAAAGGCTAACCAACAGTTTCTTTTGAAATTTTCTTGGAATCTTCTTCCCTCATTCTAGAAAAATTACCTACACAATATTGCAAGAAAACTTTTTGTTACATATTATTTAAGGAAAATCAAATACAAAGGGAGATCTTTAAATGTAGCGTTCGAGATAAACATTTTTCACGTTTAGCCATCGATATTCTATGTATTTTTCTCATATTACGTACAATTTTTATCAAGACTCCATCATTGTCTCAAGATGAAACTTTTTCATGGAATGGTTTAAAACAAGCCATTTGATCTTCGAATCGAAAAATTTTTAAATGAAAATCCATTGTCTTCGTAAATGTCTGTTTTAATGTCATAGACTTCTCTCAGTTTGAAATGTCAGTATTAATTTTGATTTTTTTCTTCTTTTTTTCTTTCTAGCGAGGGATCTTAGTGAAGAAGAAAAGATGACTATCATCCTGTCACCGGACTTCCAGAAGTTCATGGACAGAGCGGGTCGAATAGTGGAACGCGCTCTTTCTGAATCTGTCGATATTTACATGGATTACGCTGGATTATTGGATAGTGAAGATAGGGGGTACAGCCTTATTTACTTTTGTTTCGGTTGTTTAATTTGTTTTCATGTCCTCTGTTCAAGAGTTCTCCGGTCGAGGTCTGCCTCTGAGATCAGATCAGTAATGGGATCAGCTTAATTTTTTGTAGAAACTTGAGAAAGCTTGCTTATTTTTGGTTTTTTTTTACCAACCTTCTTTTTGAATTAGACATTACTTGAGTTCTGAAACATGGACGAAAAATATTTGAAAATGCTCATAATTTTTCCATTAAAGGGCACAGCTTGTCCAAAAATGCGTGAAAGAGTATGAATTAAAACTTATCAACTCGGATGCAGAGAATAGTCAAATATGCCAGTATGAAAAGAGACGCCGTTTGTTGTTTTTTGTCCGTGGTGCTCTTGCAGTACAAAGATTTAAAAATTGTAAATTATTTTATATGAATTCCAAAGTGTTTGAACGGTGAGCTTGAATATATCTGCTCAGCTTTTAAAGAAGAAGCCTCCATACACTAGCTTAGAACAAAGGAAGGAAACATATTTTAAGGCCACCTTCATCTTTCCTTTGAAAAAAACTTCTTAATTTTCATGTAGGTATTTGTCTCTGATAAATGGCTATTTTACTTTTAAAAATCATTCATTATTCATTTGTATTTGATTTTAGTGAGGAAAAAGCAAAGAAAATGCTATCGCCGGTTCGGACATTTGTAGATGAGCGATGGACTAAAAACCAACTAGTAACGTCAATGGACTGGTCACCGCAGTTCCCAGAACTCATGGTTGCTTCGTATTACCGCAATGTAGACTCTACTCATGATCCAGATGGTGTCTGTCTTGTTTGGAACACCAAGTTCAAAAAGCAGACGCCGGAGTATGTCTTTCACTGTCAATCAGCTGTCCTGTCGGCAACTTTTGCTAGGTAAGACATCTCACGGTCTACTCTTCTGTAATGAAAAAATTATCAAAAACTAGGGCTGGGCGAATATTTTGAAATTTTATCTTTTCATTTATTAAAAGTGAAATTACAAAAACGTGTGTCTTGGTTTCCGTGTTTCAATATCTTTGGTACTACTTTATTTTTTAGAAGATCAAACGAACGTCAAGGCTTGAAGTTTTCACAGGCTTTTCTGTACAAAGAGAAGATAAATCATTGAAACTTTCACAAAATGACGCTCAGTAATTTTCCATGAGAAAAATGAATTACGATAGGAAGTCTGCAATGCTGCAAACAGAGAAACGCATTACTGCAGTTTCGCCACCGTTATTTATATGTTCAACAACATATGGGTAAAACTCAATGTACCAGAGAGCAAAAAAAGTAAATGAAACTTTTTAACAGTACAGCAAGAGGCAACAAATTGATGTACTACTTAATAAAAAAAAAATATGATAGCCAAATAACTATCAATATGTACATAAAGCCTGCTATTTTGCCATAAACCAGGACAGTCTTGCAAATCTAGTAGAAGACCACCAAACTAATCTGCAGCCCGAAGAGAAAAAATTGAAGTTGGTTCTGAAATGCCCCTCCTGAAAATTCCTACCATCTCCTAAAGAATAATCAACATCCTTAACTTAAAATCATCCAAGAAACTCAAGAGAAAATAAATAAAAATCAAAAAATTTTCAAACTTAAAATTAGCATTAACGGCTACTGATTAATCCCTAATTATTGACTCATCCTTGCAGGTTTCACCCGAGCCTTATCTTTGGCGGCACATACTCTGGCCAGGTCGTCCTCTGGGATAACCGTGTCCAAAAACGATCACCAGTGCAGCGCACGCCACTTTCTGCAGCCGCGCATACTCATCCAGTCTACTGTTTGAGTGTGATTGGAACGCAGAATGCGCACAACCTTATTAGTATCTCAACTGATGGCAAGGTAATTAATGTAAATTTCCTCCTTCTTTAGACTGCTGAGAAAGCAGAATACATTTTTTTAAACTAATTTGTTCATAAATGTAAAACCTACTGTATGTCTGTCTCTCATGTTCATAACTTGAACAGTTTTCACTGTATAAACTTACTTCGTTTCTGAAGTAAAAATCAAATAGTTTAAATTATCAGAAAAATTAAGCAAATATGTTTTTTTTAAGGAAGGAAAAAAAAAGATTCGTCCTTCAAAAACAATTCAGATCAAGTTGTTATCTACCAAATATTTATTGCTGGTAACCTTTTTTTCGTTCGCATCCAGGGTGTCTACAGGTTATATAACCATGTAATGTCATATAATAGTGTCACATATTAATTTTGGTTGTATAATTAAATGAATGTCCTAGAAAAGTGACATCTTTTTGTTTCATCACGCAATTTTTTCATTAAAATTCTCCTTCAGGTGGCCAGTTTATGCCCACAAGATGCTCCGGTTGTCGCAGCTTCTGCATCTTATTAGCCTTGCGATCATAATTTTTTTGCAAGAAATGGTCTTATAATGTCATTTTAAAAGTGCCTTACTTTTGTTTTTGGACTTCTCTAGCCATCCTGGTATCAAAAACAGGAGGTTTGTTGTATCCGCTAACAGTAAATATTATATCCGCTAACAGTAAATATTATATTTACTTTTTTTTTTTCAAGGTCTGCTCGTGGAGCCTAGACATGTTGTCTCAACCTCAAGAATCACTAGTCCTTATGAATAACAAGATGTCTAAACCAGTCACCGTGTTGTGCCATGATTTCCTGTATAATGATATAAACAATTTTGTACTAGGGTGTGAGGAAGGCACCACATATTCGAGTAAGTGATGTATCTGCATTTAGCATCATTTCTATTTTTTTCATGAACTTGAAACCAGAGAAGCTGACAAACGGCTTAAGGCCTCAAAAGAGAAAAAGCCCCAAAGAGCAGCCGATAGGCTCTGGTGAGGTGAGGTAGCAAAAATGAAAAGGCGAGCTTGCGGAGAAGGAAAAAATAATTTATTTACTCAACATAGCAGGTGACAAGCACTACAAACAAGGAAACAGATCCTTAAGATCTGTATGGAAACTGGAAAAGAGGAAACTACATTGGCGAAAGAACAGAAAAGATGGAAGAGTCGAGCGGAACCAAGATTGTCGACTGGCCGAGAGCGAAGCAAAGCACTGACTAAAGAAAATGGCGTCGGCTCAGCTAGTCAGCGAGCTTGGTTCAAGAAGAGGATAACATCACCGCCACTCTCATCTCGTAAGATGGTAGTGGGAGGGGGGGGGGGAGCAGAAACCATCTCAAACTATCTTCTTGTAAATTTCCGTGCCCGGAATAAAAGATGCTCCATAGAGGTGTCAAATTACCACTCAAATATTGGTTTAAGTTAAATGGGAAACTTCCACAAATTTTAAGACAGAGGATAAAGACTGTTTCAATCCTTGTAGAATTTTAAGCAGAAAAAATGTCCGTTCAAGAACTCATCTCGGCTTGAGATACTTGAAGATGGAGCTCATAAGTTGGAATCAAAAAGCATACCCTCCAGAAGATGAGGCAATGAGAACACTGTGATACAACAATTTTGCCTTTTTTGCAACTCAAAATAGCTGCTGTCATGGATGGAAAGAAACATTTCTGAATTAATTTACTGGGATGTTAAAACTGACTGATACTGCTGGGATGGAAAATCTGTGCAACACCACTAGAATATTTATATGAATGCTTTGGCTGTTTTCGTAACATCCACACAACGCCCGACCAACAAACAAAGCATTCATACCAACATGCGAGTGTTATTAGGCAGAAATTTAACATCCCAGGATGATAGTTCAGCAATTTTTCCCCCTTGTGTGTCACAGTTTTTAAATTAGAAGCAAAAAACGTAATCCTCACACAGACATGTAAAAAGTAACAAGTTTAATTGTGTGTTTTCATTTGAGCTACTGAGTCATATGACAGCGCCCATTTTGATTTTTGCCTAGAATTGTGAAACTGGAATGACTCATCCGTATCAAATTATGTCTTTCCCGTCGAATACTTTTCAAAGCAGAAAGCTAAAAAATGCACTAATTTTTAACCAGATGGTGAAGTTGGAAGTGAATTTTAGACCTTCTTAATGTGTTTATTGTAATCTTTTAACAAATTTCCAACAGACATCTGTTGCTTCCCCCAAGTAACAGTTTGGAACAAGACTATTCCAATTTTGGTTCTTTTACAACAAATCCAAGGAGGTTTTGCTCTGAACTCGAGAAAAACAATTTGATTACATTTTGCACTAAGGAATCACTATTTCTAGCCCATTTTAGAAATAACATACATGCCATTGGTTTCCCCATGCAGTTATGTTTTTTTATGAAAGAGCCAGAGATAGTGGTTCCATATTGCAAAATGCAATCCAATTAATGTCTGAAATTTTACATTTCAATTTGAAGGGCCAGTTTTGTAACCAGTAAGCATGTTCCATCAAAAAAATCGAAGTTGCTGGGCCAAAAGAAAAAAAAAAAAAAAAAAAAAAAAAAAAAAGTTGGAGTAGATTCTGAACCTAAGTACCCAGTTAGTGACTGACCAAGTCAAAGCGATAGGAAGAAAATGTCTAAAATGTTGCATCAAATAAAGATGACTGATATTCATTGCTTTTTGTAGACTATACTTTCATGAAAACAAAGAAACTATAAAACTTGCTAGTCGAAACTAAAAAACTGAAACTCACAAAACTATATTAAAATTTCCGACGCGTTTCGGGGCTCCCTGGCCCCTTCTTCAAGGCTAAATTCCAACATATAAAAACGCGTCGGCAATTTTAATTTAGTTTCGTGAGTTTCAGTTTTTTAGTTTCGACTTTCTTTATTTTCATTATTTAGCTCACAATTTGTTACCTTAATTTCCCGTTTGTTTCATTTTGTTTATTTTTCGTTATTTTTGGTTTATTTTACTTTCATATACATAAAAATACTTTTTCTGTCTCAGCTTGTCGACACGGTACAAAAGCAGGGCACACGGAGGCCTATGAAGGTCATCAAGCTCCTGTCACCGGGATCGATACACACAAGGTGCAAGGCAATATCGATTTCAGCAACTTGTTCATAACATCCTCGTTCGATTGGACAGTCAAATTGTGGAACTTAAAGGTATTGCTGCTTTGCTTCATTCCGAGACTGAGCCGCTAACGTGTGTCTCTAGATTTTTGTTCTGTGATGAGTTTCATACACAACTGAGACTAGTTTCTGGTCCTCTACATTATCGCTTTTTCACACTGGATGTATTAATATCTTTAATTATCCATTGAATGACTTGCAATGTTTTAGAAAAAATCTAGATGAGTTTTTTGCAAAAATTTATAGATTTCCTGACAAACAGCAAAACTCTATTCCACGGTTGTTTAACTAACTCAACCAATTACATCTTTCACAAGAATATGATTGCTTAGTGTTTGTCTAAAAGTTTGCTGCGTTTAATGTGTAACAAGTGAAAAAATTAACAAAATTTTCAGTTAGAGAGACCAAACAGTTTACCACTTTAACAACAATTCACAAGTGGAAATCTTGCAAATGCAGTTACGTTTTTTTCATGTAGGAAATGATACATTTTAGAGAACAGTTCAGGCAGAGAAGAACTCAAGTCAACGAAGGCAAAATTTTCCGTAAAGATAAAAAATTCTGCTGGTTCCTCTACGAATCATAAAGTTTCGATTTTTTTGCCTCTTGTAGCAATGATTTTTCATTGTTTTTGGAAGTCATGTGCAAAATGTTTCTACGGCAAACTTTTTCTGGATTCTCTTCCTTAATTGTTCCGAGACATCTGTGATTATGACACTTATGATTTTTGGTCCTCCGCAGGAGAATAAACCGATTCATTCGTTCGAAGATAACGGTGATTATGTGATGGATGTCAAGTGGTCACCAATACATCCGGCTTTGTTCGCATCCGTTGACACAGATGGACGAGTAGATCTTTGGAATATCAACACAGATACTGAAGTTCCAACAGCCTCAACATGTGTAGAAGGTAATTCCCTCAGTCAATTCTGTTTCATCCCCTCACTTTAAAAAAGCAAATGACAAGAATCAAGCAAAGACCACCTCAAGTGCGCTGGAATAATAGTGATGCTCAAAAAAAAACATGGGAATATCATAGAAAAATTTCAATACATTGAAGAATTGAGGGGTGCTGTTTGAATTTGACGATTGAATTTTGAGGGTTGCCTCCCTTCGCCACAATTTTATTGCTGTGGTCTATTCTGCCGTGCTAAGGAAAAACGCAGTATAAACCTTCAGGCGTTGCCAAATTTTCTTTGATAAGTTGCGAACTTCCTGGTAAACTTAAGAAATATTTTCCTCCCAATTTTTTAGATAGTTTTGTTCGCAATTTCAATTAAAGATTCTGAAAATTTAAAGGAAAAATATTAATTACTTTCCTCAGAAATAAACTTTTTAACAAAAGACACTCAGCAACTCTCGAATGTTCATGCAGCGTTTTTCCTTAGCACGGCAGTATTACTGATAAGTCCCCAGGAAAAAGTGTGCTAAGTTTCATGCCTATCGGCAACACGGTCAGAGCCCTTCAAATTTTTGAATCCAAAATTGAAGTTGAATTTACGAAGTTGCAATTTTTGCTATTGAAAAATGCTGTTTTTACTGTTTTCTCCCTTCCCCTTCATTTTTTCACTCAGAAATAGTATCCAAAAAATTTTTTGAAGAGTTTTGGGTATTTTTCATGTCAAAGGTCACATTCTGAGTTTAAAAGTTAGTCATGTTATTTTGATTTCCCAAGGTTTTTCTATCAAATGTGGGAAACCAAACATTTTTATAAAAAAAAAAAAGAAAGACTTGACAATTACAAGAGGTTTTAGTATTAATTCTTAATTTTCTCTCCAAACTTCAAAATTTTTTAGCGAGCATGGCTGGTCACTTGTGATTAATTCTAATGCTCAAGTGTGACCGGATCCATAAATAGAGTCCATATCTTTTCGGAGAAAATTAGCCTTAACTTTTTGCAAATGCCTGAAGGAAAAAGTTTGACTCAGAAAGTTCAAAAATTGAAGGAGGTACGAAATCTAAAGTTCTGAGACAAAAATTTTTATTATGTAGAAAAATATGGTTCCAGTGATTAAGAAACGTTAAAGTTACAAAACGTTTTCTCCCAAAAGATCAGGTCCCTTTTCACAGATCCAGTCACAAATATTGAATTTTTTTATTTTTATTTTTCTCAAGCCAGTTATACGGTCTTGTCTAATGATTGAATTTCACCTACTTTCGCTGAAGACATGTTTTTTTTTTCATTTCTTGCTCTTATTTTTGTCTTGATGAAGTTTTCTACTTAAACTTTTGATTCACAGGAAATCCTGCTTTAAACCGAGTGTCTTGGAAACCATCGGGAACGCATGTTTGTGTTGGTGACGCTCAAGGCAAAATTTCAGTATTTGAAGTGAACGAGAAACTAGCGCAACCAAAACATGATGAATTTTCAAAGCTACGGCACACGTTACAAGAACTGAAACACAATAAGCACGATGAAGACTTAGACAAATTTAGCTCACATAACACTAGTTCAGGGCCTTCCAGTCTAACGTCTTTGATTTCGAGATAATAGAAATCCAAATACTAAGCTAAGACTAATTTCTAGTTTTATTTTATTTATTTTTGGGCTGGACTGAGCATCTCTACCAGTCCACCTGTGATAAATTAATCAAATGAAAAGGCCATGTATGTTTCAGACTCTGAAAAGTTTCCATTATCTTGGAGAACTTGAAGGTTTCGGAACTGTCAAATTAAATTCTAACTAAAGGGTCTGATCATCGTTTCCCAGAGGAAGGAGTGTAACTATATTTCATGGTTGTAAAACTAACTCCAACAAAGTTTCTCTTTGCAAGAGTATGGCAGTGCATTTTCTGTTCAAAATTTTTCTGTTTTTTGCGTGTAGTCTAAAGAAAAACAGCAAACATTTTAGTAAGAAATGACCTGTAGCAGGATGTCTGGCATCGGTATAAATCGGCAAAACTGGCACAAATTAGGAAATTCAATGTCATCAGGGAAAAATTGGTTATGCATCAGGGAATTCCGAGTGCACCAAACATTTTTCAATTATGTACCTGCGATTGAGCACATGCTAAATTCAAGCATTTGATTCAATTTATTAAAAATGTTTGTTCGTAGAATCGAACAAGTGTAAATTTAGTGGTGCGAAATATCAGAAAATTTCATTTGAAATATCAGGAAAATATCCGAAAAATCCAAAACGAAGTTTTAGTAGACAATCTTCTTTGAGTTTCCTTGCAAAAGTACACTTCATGGGTAGACATTTTGCAACATTGACTCGTAGTTACGTTCTTTCGTCTAGGAAACAATGATAGGATCAATCCTTCAATTTGGTGGCCTCTTTGCCTAAGAGAATTTTCTAGGGCGCAGAGGTAAACAGAAGCTAAGCTCATACAAGGCCTCAAGGTGTCACATTCAAATGTCAAACCAAGGTCAAGCTGCTGTCTTTAGCAGGAGTTTAGCTTGAAAAATAAAATCTAGCTCAATAGAAAAAAAAAACCAAATCAGCATCTGGGAGACCCCTGCTTTTGCATCAATCATCTGGATGCTGAAACCTGTTGGGTCTCAGGCTCGAGTCTAAAATTATTCTTTCCAAAGAGGCCTCCTTTCCTCGAATACTCTTCTCTATATTTTTTCCTTTCCCTTCTGAACATAACTCTCTCCACTATGCTTAATATCAATCCCGCAGCTCTAATATTTTAACCATTCTATGCTAAGTCCAAGCTGAGACCATATTATCGGAAATCTGTGAAGTCTTTTAATGACACAAATTTCTAAAATTGGGGCTTATTTTGGTGTGATGTTTTGTTTCGACTGATTTTTTTCATTCTTTTCAGAGAACGCAAATTTGAAAAGATGATGTTTCCTCACCATTTGTATTAAATTTTGTGTATGTCAAAAGCAACGTAATAGCTAAAATAACAGTGAATTTGCAATATTGTCACAAGTTGCAGGGTTCTTTGGATAATTACCACGCAACTCGTCATTTTAAAGTTTTGATTCATGCATTGACTATGTATGCATATCTTTAAATTTTTACCCAAAGCTCACTGAATTCTCCGCCTAAAAATGTGTCTTCATATTTGGAGGAAATTTCAAATGGATTGCAGACGGTACATTTTAAACTGATAATGTAGTTTTTACAGAAGGTCAGTTCTGTCCACACTGCTCAACCAAGAAATGTCCCAGTTGTAGAAATAATGTCATTCTTTTCATAAAGATTTCCTCTCCTCCCAAGATTTTTTTTTTCGAATAGCTCACTAAGATTTTAATACATTTTATTTTACTTCCACCATGATGTGCCAATTGAGAATTTTAATCACGCTTTCAAACTTTTTCAAAATCTTTGTTACTTTATGAAACTGTAATTCCAGAAGTTGAAAAGACAAAAATTATGTGCTCAAATTTCTGTAATCCTCTATTTTTTTCCTGTTTTGAAGAAATTCTGCTTTCAGAAGGTCCTCTTTATTTAGCAAGGCATTTGTTTTTAAAAACTCATTATGTTTTTTTTATAATTTAAAATTTATCTGAGGAATGATCTGATAAGATAAGTGAAAAATTGATCAAAATGCACTAGGTTTCTGCTTCAAAGCTTTGGTTACCTCGAACGCTGCTTGTGTTGGAAAAAAAAAATCACCCTAAGTGAAATCTACTGAAGTTGTACTGAAGTAGAAAATGCACAGCTTTAAAATAATTTCTTAAAATTCTTGAAGGAAACCGTACATTTTTCTACAGGTAAAAGTGCGCAGTGCTTCGCTCAGCAAAAATGTAGGAACTTACCTGCCGATGCTGTTCCAAAAAATTTCACAAGTCAAATTCTAGAATAATTCATTGCATATCTGTTGCCTGACTCTATATAAAAGTGTGCTGTATTTAGCTTTCAATATTAAAATTTTTAAGCCTTCTCCGATGACTCTTGTCACAAGGAATCTGTTTAACTCAATACGAGTTCTTTCAAGTATGCAAGTCTTACTTCTTTTTCTTTTTAAAAATTGAAATTACTCCTAATTCATAATGCTTTCAGCAAGAACTTACACAGATGACTTTACTACGATTTATGATTTGAAATTGCTAAGGGAGGAAATACGTGCAAATTTTTCTGAAGTGTAAAAGAATTAGGTAATGTAAGTTCTCTTCCCCTGCATCCGTTTGAGACAAGAGAAGGGAGAATAGTAATTTAGGTATGTGTAAAACTTGTATCCTTAATTGCTTCAATCATGGATCAATTCTTTCAAGGAAAATAATGATTCTAATGTGTTAAAAAAAATATTTATGGAAAAGATGTTCATCCTAGAGGTGAGGAAAACATGACAAATGTTTTGAAAAATGTTTGTAAAATACTCCTCAAATCAGTGCTGCACTAATTTCATTTTCAGTTTTGCGGCGTGGTAGTAATTTTTTTCATGTGGATTGTCTAAAATGAAAAAAATTTTAGAATTGAAAATATTTATTTTCTCTCTCCTTGTTTTGCTAGATAGAGGCACCGACACATTTAGTTGACTCTTCCGAAGACTCTCAGCAGCAGATGTTTATTCAAAAACAAAGCATATTTTTGGGAAATAGTGACTTCCATTTTTTTTTTTTTTAACGAATTGAACCTTGATGGATATTTTGTTGTCCTTAGTTGAATGAAAGCCCAAATCATGTCAACGAAATTTGGAAGTGTCAAAATCCTTGCAGAAGTTTCTGAGCTTGAATCAAGGCCTGAAAATTATGTCTCGCCATATGTTTTATTTATTTGATCCATTTTTTTTAGAATAAAATTTTTTTTTCGCCTTATTTGTTTTTTAAGGCATTTTGCATGGCATTTCATAAGAGAATCAACAAGGAATCGTTGAGTTTTTTATGTTTCGTGCGCTTCATTTTGTCGTTCTTTCAGCAACGTTATTTTAGTTTTAACATGAATACTCGCCTGAACTTTACGTGCAATCACCGGAAAAATTTTATATCAGTCAAAGATGAGTGGGCACTGATTATGTTCCACTTTGATGTCCTGTTACATTGGTTGTTTTCTGAGCTTTGTGCAGACAGTATTTCAATAAGGCGCAAGCCATAATATTCCAGAGGTAACAAATAAAAAATCTAAAACTTTTAACCACCATCAGACTACTTTTCTTAATGCCTAATAGCTTTCGTATTTTTCTTTCTTTTATCAATAAGTGAAGCTTGCTTGTAAATTTGTAAAATTTCTTGTTAATTTTTTATCATTGTAAAGTAATGAAAAATGAAATGAAATAAACATTTCTCCAGAATTGCATTCGTAGCATTGTTTGAATCTGATCCATCTGCTCTCTATCTCTACCTAGTATAGGAGTGAATTATGTTGCCTCCATCTCTCAGAATCTTTTTTCATTAGAATTAAAATTCGGTAAGGAATTGCAGAATCATAAAGAATTCAATGTCTCACTATTTTTTTATTCATTCATAATGTAGCCCTCGCAGTGGACTCAAGCCTCCAGTTCTTCACTATTTTCAGAGGAGGAGAAGCAAGCTGATTTTTGAACAGGTACTTAAGTTCCAGACAAATCCACTGGCAAAAAAGTAAGACTTTGATGATAAGAGCAAATATTTAAAAAAAAGGTGCCAAGTCGCATTTTTTCTCCCATTTTGAGTTTTTGGCAGAAATGTAATCCTTTTCTGCCTCCAGCGTAGTTTTTCTTGACCCCTATCTATCTATCTATATAAATCCCCATCTATTGGTGTATTTTCTTTTTTTTCGGAGTTTGCACCTTTTCAATAAAAGCGCTTCATTTTTTTCTGCAATTCTGAATTTAAATCAACTTCCAGTCCAGTTTGACGTTTTTCGATTATAACTTTTGGTTTGCTCGAAATTTTTGTCTCTTGTCACGCTCCTTCCAACGAAGAATTGCAAACAATTTGGTAAATCTTTCTTTAACATGTTCCTTTCTTCTTTTGATTGTTGATTCATCGTTTCGAATGATCATCAGTGAATAATTGGTTTTATTTCTATCCTTAAAATTTTCGATTTAAAACATACCTGACCTATACCTTTTTTTAATGAAAATATTATTTCAGTTTCGCATTGCTAAGGCGCAGTGATACAACTATACGTACTCTCCCGAACGCGTGAGGTATCACGCCACGTTTGAAGGCGTTTTCGAAATTTCCAATTTTCCAAAATAGGAACCTTGCGTGTGCGTCGCTTAGATAGGCGTCAACCAAAACTGGCCAGCAAATATTAAGCCCTATTGGAGCCCTTCTTCAGAACATGTACTAAAAATTCAGTTCCTCAAACGCAAAAAAATAAATGAAGTACTTTTCGATCCCTTTAAGTTGATTGTTAACTTGAGTCCGTATTATTTAGTTATATTTTTTCCTGCGCTTGTTTAAATTAATCCTTCTGAAAAATGATCAAATTGCTTAATATAATCGTAGCTTGGACACTTTTTGTCCTCGCGGTCAAAACTGCAACAGCGGTAAAGGAACACTGACAAGGCCGCAGCGTGGAGGCTGATTTACTATCAATCTTGAATCGCATTGCTAAGGCGCAGAGATACAATTATACGTACTCTCCGGAACGCGTGCGGTATCACGCCACGTTTGAGGGCGTTTTGGAATTTGCCAATTTTCCAAATCCAGAACCTTACGTCGCATTGATCGACGTCAACCAAAACTGGCCAGCAAATATTAAGCTTTTTTGCAGCCTTTCCTCAGATCATGTACTAAAAATTCAGTTCTTCAAACGCAAAAAAAAAAATGCAGTACTTTTTCGATGCCTTTTAAGTTGATTGTAAAATTAAGTCCTTATTATTTAGTTATATTTTTTTCTGAGCTTGTTTATTTTTAATCCTCTTAAAAAATGATCGAATTGCTTAATATAAGCCTAGCTTGAACACTTTTTGTGCTCGTGGCCAAAACTGCAACAGCGGTATAGGAACACTGACAAGGCCGCAGCGTGGAGGCTGAATAATATAAATCTTAAATCGCATTGCTAAGGCGCAGTGATACAACTATACGTACTCTCCGGAACGCGCGAGGTATCACGCCACGTTTGAAGGCGTTTTCGAAACTGCCAATTTTCCAAATCCAGAACCTTACGTCGCATTGATTGGCGAGAACCAAAACTGATCAGCTTAATTAAGCACTTTTGCAGCCCTTCGTAAGAACATGTACTAAAAATTTAGTTCCTCAAACGAAAAAAAAAATGAAGTACTTTTCCGATCCCTTTTAAGTTGATTGTTAATTTGAGTCCATATCATTCATTCACTTTTCTTCCTGCGCTTTTTTATTTTTAATCCTTCTAAAATATTATCTTTTCACTAAATACAAGCCTACCTTGAGCACACTTAAACTTTGCGGTCAAAAGTTCATCAGCAGTAAAAGAACACTGACAAGGCCGCAGCGTGGAGGCTAATTTAATATCAATCTTGAATCGCATTGCTAAGGCGCAGTGATACAACTATACGTAATCTCCGGAACGCGTGAGGTATCACGCCACGTTTGAAGGCGTTTTTGAATTTGCCAATTTCCCAAATCCAGAACCTTACGTCGCATTGATTGACGTCAACCAAAACTGGCCAGCAAATATTAAGCCCTATTGGAGCCCTTCTTCAGTACATGTACTAAAAATTCAGTTCCTCAAACGCAAAAAAATAAATGAAGTACTTTTCGATCCCTTTAAGTTGATTTTTCAATTGAGTCCATATTATTTAGTTACATTTTTTCCTGCGTTTGTTTAAATTAATCCTTCTAAAAAATGATCAAATTGCTTAATATAAGCCTAGCTTTAACTCTTTTTGTCCTCGCGGTCAAAACTGCAACAGCGGTAAAGGAACACTGACAAGGCCGCAGCGTGGAGGCTAATTTAATATCAATTTTGAATCGCATTGCTAAGGCGCAGTGATACAACTATACGTACTCTCCGGAACGCGTGAGGTATCACGCCACGTTTGAAGGTGTTTTCGAATTTGCCAATTTTCCAAATCCAGAACCTTACGTCGCATTGATTGGCGTGAAGCAAATCGGCCAGCAAATAGTGAGCCCTATTGCAGCCCTTCTTCACTACATGTACTAAAAATTCAGTTCCTCAAAAGCAGATAGAATGCAGTAATTTTTCGATGCCTTTTAAGTTGATTGTTAAATTGAGTCCTTATTATTTAGTTATATTTTTTCCTGCGCTTGTTTAAATTAATCCTTCTAAAAAATGATCAAATTGCTTAATATAAGCCTAGCTTGAACACTTTTTGACCTGGTGAAAACTGCGACAGCGGTAATGGAACAGTGACAAGGCCGCGTGAGGTATCACGCCACGTTTGAAGGCGTTTTCGAAACTGCCAATTTTCCAAAACAGGAACCTTGCATGTTCGTCGCTTAGATAGGCGTCAACCAAAACTGTCCAGCAATTATTAAGCCCTACTGCAGCCCTTCTTAAGAACATGTACTAAAAATTCAGTTCCTAAAACGCAAAAAAATGAAGTACTTTTTCGATCCCTTTAAGTTGATTGTTAAATTCAGCCCATATTATTTATTTTTTTTTCTTCCTGCGCTTGTTTATTTTCAATCCATCTAAAATATTATGTTTTCACTAAATACAAGCCTACCTTGAGCACACTTAAACTTTACGGTCAAAAGTGCATCACCGGTAAAAGAACACTGACAAGGCCGCAGCGTGGAGGCTGATTTAGTATCAATCTTAAATCGCATTGCTAAGGCGCAGTGATACAACTATACGTACTCTCCGGAACGCGTGAGGTATCACGCCACGTTTGAAGGCGTTTTCGAATTTGCCAACTTTCCAAATCAGGATACATGCGTCTGTGCCGCATAGATAGGCGTAAACCAAAACTGGCCGGCAAATATTTAGCACTTTTTCATTCCTTTTTCAGTACATGTATACTAAAAATTCAGTTTCTCAAAAGCAGAAAGAATGCAGTACTTTTTCGATGCCTTTTATGTTGATTGTTAAATTGAGTCCATATTATTTAGTTATATTTATTGCCCGGCCAAAAAAACGCGTGGGCATAAACTTCTAGAAAAATCAGGTGCGCCGACAAAAAATCGTTGACGAAATGTCCTACAGCCAGAAGCGGTCAGATATTTTTTTGTATCCGCGTTTTAAGCGTTCACCACGTTAGTAGTGTACGCTTTTTCCCGTCGTTTTGCATCGGGTATGTTACTAATGTATCCATATGTAAAGGTCCGCACTGCTCCGTGGGATTCGGCGCCATTTTTCTTGGCGGGCAGCAATACCTAGTTTCTCAATTTTTTACGTATCATTTCTTCCTTTCTTCTCCTATTTTGTCCACTTTATGTGATGCCTGTAGGCTTGTCTTTGAGAAATTAATATTTTTACGTTTTAAAACTGTTTGTATAAACTTGATCCAGATAAGATCACTACTGACCTTTAAAGACCTTTAAAGAAATTCAAAACCTACAGGTAAGTGTTATATGGGATTGCTAAAACTTTGTAATGGTGTCTGTCATTTAAGAGGAATCTAGTGAGGTCCAATAATAAAAAGTCTTGTGTTATAAGGCGTAATTAAAAATAAACCTTACATTTAGAGTAGCTTACGAAAAAGAATCCATTGAGCAAAGGTATCTAGGTTTCTTACTATGAACATAACGCACAATTCAGCAATACATGATGGTGCTTACGAAGTCTGAATTTTAAGTATTCAGTCATGATGACAAAACCACCGATTTGATTTCCGCTTACATTTAATTACAAGCGTAAACATTTTTTTTTTTTACATTTTTTAATTTGTTTTAAAATCCTAACGTCATAATTTAATGAGTGAAGTATGCTGTGACTCATCAGCAAGTATTTCCACTTAAAAATGCGTGCATTTAATTTAAGTGGCAATTTGTTATACGAAAATTTAGGCGTTTTAACGTGGTGAGAGTAGGCTTTCAATCTATTTCCGACGCGAGTTTTCTGCTTTTTTGTTGGTATCGGTCGCTTCAACCTTGGGTCCGAGACTTTTTAGGCACTTTCACACTCCAACGTCCGTCGATGAGCCGAAACCGCGCAACCGGCCAATCAGAGGCGCTAAGACGGCCTTGAGAGCAGTCAAAATCATCCTAAAGCCATTTTGACTTCATTTTGAAAGAAGGAACCACAATTTATGACTTATCCGTAAAACCACCTATCTGCATTGAGGAACTAATGGCATATACGTCGTTTCTTAAATGAGCCAGAAATAGTAGTTCTTTATTACAAAACGAAGTCCATTTAAGGAGATTCGATGGACGCCATATTTTGTATTAGAACGGCATGCGATATATCGCATCAGTTGG